ATTAAATGGAGAAGCAAAAAGAATGTGATTCTTAGCTTTTAAAAATATTTAAAAAAAAAAAATTACTAAAAAATTAATGTTAGATTTAGCTTATTTTAAGAGGCATCATTTCCAAAATACATCCAGACAATTTTTTTTTTTTTTACAACATTTTAATGGTGCTTTGTAAATGGAGAATACAACTTTGTTATGAGAACATAATGCATCAGTTTTTAATGCCAAAATCGACAGAAATAGAGTTTGTGAGCAGAATCAATATTTTTTTTTTTTTAAAACTCCCCATGAAAAAGAAGTGCTCACAAATTTAAAAACAGCTTTTTTTCTCTTTCCATTTGAAAATCAAATGTTACAATAAGTTACATTATATTGCAATAAAACTTACTTTATATTTATAAAATGATAAAAAAAAACAGGGACATACATATAACGTCAGGGGTTGTCTGGGGAGTTCAAGCGGCCCAGGAAAACAATAAAAAAAAGCGGCCCTATCTTCATGACTTTTAGTTTTATTATATCACCGGTCCTAGCGGCCCATGGGGAATCTTCCCTGTGTCCACCCCTGTATAACGTACACTGTTTTAAAAAAACCAAGACACAAATTGTATACAATACAAATATTAAACTTTATGAAACTCATAATAGTGATAACAGCATCAATCAGAAATTCCTTATTTCCTGATAAATGATGCTAACATATGTAAAATATATAAGATTGTATTAATTAGTCCTAGATTTAGTTGAATGATTCATTTATTAATGTAATTTAGATGACCTATTCCATCCAAGGTCACCATGCTATTTTATATTTGGTCTGTAGTCAGCCTGTTGTGGGCTATACTAGTGTGCACATCCAGTTTGGCGCAACTGTAAGAGCGCTTCACTTCTGTCTTACTGACTTTCACACCCAGCCACCCATTTAGCAGAATATGGCAAATCTTCTTTCAATCAGAAAGGGTAAAAAGCACAATTGTCTCATCAATCAATCATTACAAGGGAATTACCTCAAATGACATGATCTATCACTTTTAAAAAACAGTTTTTCCCCATAGGTTAGTCATTCCTTTAACAATTAAAGGCAGAAGCAAAACGAATGTGATTCTTAGCTTTTACACATCTTTAAAAAAAATAACTAAAAAATTAATGTTAGATTTAGCTTATTTTAAGAGGCATCATTTCCAAAATACATCCAGACAATTTTATTTTTTTTACAACATTTTAATGGTGCTTTGTAAAGCATTTCCTTTAGTCATTCCATCATTCCTTTTTCAATGAGGGAATATACCGCAAAGTTAAATTTGTGGCACATTTTGCAATAATCAGTCAATAAGTAATAAATGTAGATGTGCAGACCTAAACATAAAATAAACCAAAAATGTTTAGTTATTTTCAAAGACAACAATTTTCAATGACCTTTAAGTCGCCACCAAAGCTTTTGGGGAAAACAATCAAAATACAGATGTTGAAAATTAAATTTGTAAAGATTTGATTTGATAAAAAGAGGATATAAATGTTACTTAGGGTTGAAATGGCTAGAAAGACTTTGACATTGTATGCTGGTAATTAGTTTTTGTAGTGTTGCGTTTGTTTTAAATGTGGTAAATTATAGATTTTTTTTTTTTGGACTTTGTACCGCGCTTCGAGCCTTTGGGGATGAAGCGTGTTTTTGATTAAACTTTATTATTATTATATTATTAATTTCGGATTTCACTCTGTTAGGCCATAGAGACAGCATTCTGTTGCTTTAATTGGTCTGGATTTTATTTAACAAGCTTGACAATAGTGTATGATTGGAGAAATGTGTTTTTCTTATTTTCGTTTGTATGTTATAATGTATTCTGGGTAACACCGACTTATGTCATAGACAACAAATTCTCTGAAGAGTACACGATTATCATTTGGGTCACTGTCCAAAGTAACAGAGTCATACTCAAAATGTGATGTATTGGAACAAAGGTCACTTTCACATTGAACACATGGAGGTCTCTTTAATGGAGTAGCACCTGGGGAAAAAAAAGGGTTATACAAATTTTTAAAACTTGCCTTTTATGAATAGATCATTTTGATAACACCACAATTTATATTAAATGCTGATTAGACATAACTTAAACCCATTCATTTGTGGGGTGATGTTTTAAGTTACAAGCAACTCACTGTAAACATATCTTTTTGGGCGTTGAATAGCGTGATTGTTTTTGTTGTGCAGAAACACTACATCCTTAATACAGTGATTTTCAAACAGGGTGCCCCAACGAGCCGCTTTGCGGTACCTTGAATTAATTCTTAACTTTAAACTAACATTAGATGCTTAGCATACCAAAAAAGCGTTATTTAATTTTTAAATTTATCGTTGATGCAATTTTTATAATTTTTCCATGATAAATTAACTTTTAACGCCACCTAAATAATTTATGCCGATTTAAATTTTATATTGGTCTTAAATGTGTACTTTGTGGTGAGGATAATACAGAGCAAGTTACAAAGATATTTAAATCATTATCATGAAAAAAAGCCTGCTTGGAGGCCTAAATATTATTTTTAACATTGCTGTATGATGCTCTACAGGAACTTGGAGAGTTCATGGAGAGTAATCGAGGGAGTTCCAAATTAATCAGGCCCTCAGACAAAGAGACTCACTATCATGTATCCTGTTCAACATCACATTAGAAAAAGTGATGAGTAATGTAGGCCTACACCTACCAGTAGGACGATTAAAAGTACTTCCAGAGAAGCATTACAGAACCATAACCATCAGGAACTTTATATAGCCAAACATTGCAGTACGTGGCATATGCGAATGACAGCGCAACTGGGCATAAACAGCAATAATATAATTAAAGCATTCAGATAACTTGAAGATGTCTCAATCAAAGCTGGTCTTGAGGTAAATGAAGTGAAGACAAAATATATGATAATGTTATGGAACATGCTTACTGATGACAACATTAACATAAACAACCAAACTTTTGAGAGAGTGGCTACTTTCAAATATCTAGGAGCTACCATATTTTAAATGAGCACAATGAAAAGATGTTGGAGGTGAAAGAAAGAATAAGAGCAGGTAACTGGTCTTATTTCAGCCTATAAAAGGTAATAGGAAGCATAAACCGCTCAAGGAGATGGAAGGCAATATACACTACAATTTTAAGACCAGTTGTATTTTACACAAATGGGACTTGGTCCCTTACCAGACAAGCAGAGAAACTGCTCAACACACAGAAGAGAAAAATCCTCAGGATTAGTATACGGTCGGTCCGGTTACAGATAAAGATGGTTGGAGAATCCGGTCAGTCTGGTGACAGACAATGATGGTTGGAGAATCCGTACAAGAAACCAAGAATGTATCGGTTTTACAAAGACGCACTCAAAGTTGCTACAAATAAAAAAGGAAGACTGTGCTGGACAGGACACCTAGAGAGAATGGTGGACTGTAGAGCAGCAAAAGTTATTTACAAGCTGAAACCTGAGGGCAGATGGTTCACCAAGACTGAAATGGATTCATGATGTAGCGAAGGATCCACAATGTAGAGTTTTTTTTGTTTTTGAACTGTGCTCTGTTCCTTGTCACATTTTCATTTGTCCTGTTCGCTGCAGAAGGCTCTAATCCGAAACGTCAATATCTTATTGTCTTTTGATTCAAGCCTCAACACAACTTGCTCTATTATTTCATTGATGACTCATTGATGAATTTGATAGCGAGTTAGATATAATTAGACATAATTCTTCTGTTAATTATGCTATGTTTTTTACCATACCAGATCCAGGGGGTCTGAGGGATTAAACAATGCTTTTGTAATATTAGTCACTGATTGCTATTAATATTAAACAGATTTAATAAAATTGAAAGAGCATTAACTAACACTGCAGTTTTTGTTTAGAATTACATTTTGAATGGATTAAAGGAATTTAAGCTACTCGTTGTCGAGCGTTGAATTTATTGCACCATCAGTTGTGAGCGTGTGTCTTATGCCAAAATATTTCTTTTCTAAATAGGGTGGAAAAACTACAAAAGCCTGTACACCTCGGAAAACATATGAACACTGTACAAAGTACAGGTAACCAGTACAGGTTGGCTTGTATGCTTATGGCGTTTGGGGGCCTGGGAAAATTGGGATCTATAACTATCCTAGTCCTAGCATATCCAGTTATAGTGACTTTCATTATAGAAGTAAGCCCAGGCTGAGGCTCCAAGGCTTGAACATATAATATGCAAACAGAACATGGAAACAAATGTATCCTCTATTCTTGCAGTTACATTAATAACAACAACATATGACAAGAGTTGACATTACATGCAAAAAAAAAACAATGCAGGATATTCAAATTACATTTAGCGCCTCAGAAATTAATGAACCCCCAAATTTTCCCAATATATGCTTTGCCAAACTTAGATTTCTTGGCTTTTGGGTCATGATCCTGAATGTGTAGGCACCTTCAGTATCAGAGGACACAACCCCATTTCCAAATTTCTCTAAGTCAGTGCTATCCAAACTTATTATGTAGGCCTACATAATTTCGTGAAAAAATAAGTCGGTTGTACCATCCAGTGATTATGCTAACCCATTTGAGGCATAAGAGCACAAAAATAAAATTACAATGTATTAGTATTAGGAATGCTGCTAGCTTGCACTCAGCTGTTTGGGAAAGAAACTTTTTCCAAATTTTCTTTTCATTTTCCATTTTCAAATCCCTATATTGTGGCCCATCCCATAATATAAATTTGATACAGCTGTTATGTTCTCATTTATCTTCCATGCTGATGTTTACTTAATTTGAATATTGAAATATGTTATATATAAATAAGACTATAAGTATAATATATAATATCCGGCTTTGATCGGGGTTGTACGCCTATTTGGAAAAAAACCGTATAAAGTTATAAAGTGTTATCAGCGTACATGTAATTTACGGCCCTGTATAAAACACTTCAATCAAGTACCAATTAAAATTTTATTATATATAAAAAAAAAAAAACAGATTTATAACAACTCTTGTAAACATTGAATTTGAGGCCCATTACTTTGATATATTCAGGCGAATTTGAGGCCCATTACTTTGATATATTCAGGTGAATTTGAGGCCCATTTTGATATATTCAGGCGAATTTGAGGCCCATTACTTTGATATATTCAGGCGAATTTGAGGCCCATTACTTTGATATATTCAGGCGAATTTGAGGCCCATTACTTTGATATATTCAGGTGAATTTGAGGCCCATTACTTTGATATATTCAGGCAGTGCACAGCCAAAAAACATTATTTAAAGACATATCTAGCTTTTGCAAGATTTCCCATTAAAAAAAATGGTATTCTCCAATGCCAAAGCTATCACCGTTATACATTCAAATAAATAGGATCCCTGTTCTAAAATGGGCCCTAAGATAGAGGCACTATACAAATCATACAGATGAATATTCAAGTTAATATTTCAAATTTATCCCATTAAAATGGGAAGGAATTTGCAAAGATGTTGCCTTTTAAAATGTTACTAATTGGGACCCCTGGCACCAAAAAAAACCTCAATCACTCAATCTGTAATATTTTACAGGAGTGAATATTTCAGGTTGAATAACAAACAAACTTTAATTGAAAAACTGACCCAATAAAATTGGTTGAAAAACGCTGAAGATTAAGGGCTGTATTTAAAAAAAATTGGGACCTCTCTGAACTCTCTGCACAAAAAGATTTGGATATTAATAGTATGAAATTCACCAATTTTAAAAGAGATTATAAAAGATATTTTTACCAACGCTAACCTAGATGCTACAATTTACAATGAAGCTTACATGTTAAACTAAGCCTTCTTATATAGCTTTGGCTGTTGTAAATAAAATACATTGTAGAATCTTCTACACTCATTTGGAACTTAAGAAGAAAATTCACAAATATCTTTAAATCTGATGTCATAAGTCATATAGACTTTTAGAAATAAAAAGGACATTTATTTAATTTTAAAAACCTTATAAAAAATCGAAATGTTCTAGATGAAGGTAAAATCTTCAAGAAACTTTTAAAGATATATTCACTAATACCGAGGAAATTTTCAGGAAAGTACAGAAATCTATAAAAACTAGACTAGACTAAAATTTCAATAAACTTTTAGATTCCATTGACATTTTCATAACCTATGTGGCAAAATATAGAACTTGCTGAAATTCTGTAAGTTGTTTAAAAAACCTTCAATCAGGTTGTAATAAAATGACTCTTTTATGTAATCATTATTTCAATACCAAAACATCAAAAACAAAACGCTTTAACGCTAGACATTTACCATTAAACTTAAAATAATGGGCCAGTTGGGTATCCCTTCTATAATGTTATATTTTGAATTGTCTCTAAGATAGGGACCCTAAATACTTCATTAGATAATTAGTGAAGTTAAGATTAAAAGTTTCCCTTTAAAATTGTTTGAAAAATGTATGAGATATAGCGTACAGTATATAAGGAAAATAAAATAAGTGACCCTAGCCATAAAAGTGGTAAAAATTATAAGTTCGACACTCTCCAAATGTTTTATTTTACATTTTCAAGTGCATTTTTACTGAGATTCATCTAGATCTATCCATTATTTGTAATTTATAGCTCATAAATTATAAGAAAAAACAAAATGTAGGCCCACAACACTCAAAGGGATATTTAAAAATAAATCTAACCCTGCCAGCATTTTCTTCTGGATAATGCTGAAATAACTATATAACCCACGTTTAATCAAGATTCATTAATCTCTACAGAAGCATGAGCGGTGCAAATACATACATATCTTTTCATGTATATAGATAGTAAATAAATATTATACCCAGAAAGATACATGGGTGAACATTTGAAATGTTATTGAGCGATTAAATTTTTTATTTTATTTAAGACATATAAGTAATTAAAAATGATCATTTACACATTGATGAATACCGATATGACGTTTATTGGTTACTCATTGTTTGGTGTCTTGCACTGTTTTTAACTGTAACACTACTGCGTCATTATTTGATGTTAGTAAAAAAAAGCTGGACAGAATCTTATCGTGTGTGGCATTTAAGAAGCGTATAATGATTGTACAACATGTAAACAATGTTTTTAAAAAATGGATATCTACTACAGACTGAATTTGCTCCCTGTGTAACAAATTCTTATAATTACCCTGGACAGCGTTTGAAATGATGGGGCTTATGAGCAAATTTTCAAGGAACCATTTATAGGTCAGGAGGAATTATCAGGTCAATTTCTGTTGCCATCCATTGTTTTGTTTTCTTGTAATAAAATTACCCATTAAAAAATAAAACAAACTTATAAAGTAGATATATGTATATTGTCTAATATATAATTTTTGGAGTTACCATACTCCATAACTGTATTTTAAAGCATTTTTAAAAGTTTCATCGAGTATTTTCTAATAATTTACCCTTTTGAACTCTTGGATGGTTTCTGTTCATGACATAGGTGTTACCAAGTAAAACCCTCATGACCAACATTTTTAGTTCTTCACCCTTTTGAGCACGGCTCTCTCTCTGATCTTAGGACAAGAAAAATAAGAAAGGATCTCATTAAGAAAATGAAAAGGTTTTTTATTTTATATCTGAGGTCTACGACATTATTAAGAAAGCTAATTCAAAAAATTGCCTGACTGTCTCTGTCATGGATCCAATTGGTTGTAGAGATAGATGAAAACCACAAGCACATGGAGAAAGGACCTTGACAGACAGAAGAGAGATATGTAGAGAAGTTGTGTGAGTCGGAAAAGCATGAGTATCAGGCTATAATGTCCATGATTTCAAAATGGTTATTGTAGGATGAACAAAAAAATATAACAAAGCTTAATGAAGCACCCACGGAATGCCACAGTAAATGAGATAGACACAAAGATTAAGAGTAATAAAACATGTAAATAATATACCTGTGTACTGGTCTGACTTAGTGGATGTTTCTGCCAAATAAACCCCATTACCAAGCATTGCATTTGTGCAGAGTTTAGGATCTGGACCACGTTGTGTCAAGCTATCGATCAGCTCGATTTTTGTTCCATGGAACAGGAAGTGCTCATTGACTTCATGATAAAGTTGTTCTTTAAGGAAGTCTTCCAGAATTTCTGTGGTTTTGATCTGTCCTCTGGGTAAAGTAGAGCCCAGATCATGACAAAGGCTCCCCATTCTGGCATATTTTTCAAATAAACTTTTCCTTGTACTGGAATATGGCTCAAAAAGAAGTGGGTTTTCAACCCTTTCCACATTAATTATCTCAACATTGGTATTGGCTTGCAGTCCTCTGGCATCTGCTCCTCTACCGGACTTGGTTGGATCCCATGTTTGTTCAAATAATTCCGTAATTGCTTTCTTGGTTTTTTTGTCAACATTAACTGTTATTGTGTGTTCCTCTTGAGTTCTAAATGGATAGTAGTTTCCAAATACTCGTTGAAGAAAGCTTGGCCCTCTCCTAAAGTCCCAATAAGAAGGACACATTTCTGTTATCATTGATGCATATCTTAAAAACTCAATAGTATTCCGAGGTGGGGCATTGCCTGATTCAAGAACCTTATTTCGCAGAGTGGTTTCAAATGCATTTAGTTGACTTTGAATGAAAGTTTCTAGTTTCTTTACATCCTTGTCCAAACCTTTAATAGTTATTTTAGATTTATTCGTAACAGAATCTGAATGCATTTTCACATGTGTTATTTGAGTTTTTACTTTCTCTTTAATGACTGGGAATAAGACAGACAACATCTCATGTCCAAGGTCTGCACTGTACAAACACTTTTTTCTGATCAGTTCAATTAAACTTTTTAAAGTAGCATTTGGTTTGTCTGTTTTAGCAATTGTGATAGAGATTTCTATATCACCAGCTTCTTCTAAATCCATGACAATGTTTTCATCCATATCTTGATTCATGTCATCCTCTGTGTCAGAGTTATTTTCAACAGTAGCAATATTATGAGAGAGTTTTTGCAACTTTTTCTCTGCCTCCAATTTAAGATTGCTTTGCATTTCTTCATCAGTCACAATGCAAATTTTTTCTATCTCTGGTTTTGATGTTAGGTGTGACACAAAAGAGTCTACCATTATTTGAGAGACTTTATCAGATGGAAATTTGAACATTCTACCATGACCTAAGGCAGGAAATGCCAGTGACTTGGCTCCAAGCTTGATGGCTTCATCTAAAACTTTGGTAATTATGTTTTCCAACAAAGCAGGTGAGGTATCTTCATCCCATTTGCTTAAAACTATGCCACAAATTGCAAGACAAGATGTATATGAATTTGAAAAAGGTCCAGGGACAGTAAGTACATCTGAATCAGGGTTATCTATTTGGATTATTTGAAACCTGTCATTCAGCTCAGGAACACATCTGATAAAAGCCTTTCCAATTTGTGTCTTTCTTAAGTTGATAGATTCATCCAACACACACACAAGAACATCCATTTCTTCATCAATGATGTCTCCTTCTTTAATCTGGATGCAACTTGATGTGGTCACACTAAAGGTATCACTGATAGGTATTTTTCCAGTGATCTCCCCTTTAGCTTTAAAGGCAGTTTCATTTGGCAATTTGATTTTGAGAAAACACTTTTTCTGACTTTCAAACTCGGAAAGTTTTTTTTTTACATCTGTTGTATTGCAGCTCTGAGTTATAAGTTTAATGTCAGCGTCACTGATGCCTTCGTTCTTAAAATCTATTTCTCGCGTCACAATATTTTCAACAAAGGACTTTAATGAATCCTCCACCTCCTTGACTTGACTAATTTGACCTTTAAACTTGTAAGTCAATGTGCCATTTTCTTCACCCTCATCATAGTTCCAGTCTGTCACACTTTGGAGTATTGAACTAATTTTTTGTGATGGATTTTTGCGTAGGTAGTTAGCGACATCGCCATCAACCAAGAACTCTCCTGAAACTTCATTGAATCTTTCCAACAATTTGTTAGTTTCATTTTTAGCCTTCAGGACATCATCTTTAAAGCCTTCAATATAGATTTCTTCACTGTTTGACTTCCATGACACCTCCACTAATAATTGACTTTCTAGTTTTTCTTTTAGAGAATCTAATTCTTCTTGTGGAACTTCATAAGTGCTTGTTATTATTTCCTTGTAATTTAAAATGCCTTTCAGTTTTTCAGCGGCTGCACTCAAAGATGCTAGTTTCCTCGAAGCCAGTAGGAGATTGTTATTTTCTATACTGAATTCGACTAGTTCCATTTCTTTGAGAGTTGTTAGAAATGTTTTGCCTGTTTGTTTATCAATTATTTTAGGCATAGATCCAGTTAGTTCAAGGCTAGTTGTTTCAATTTCTTTAAGACCAAAAAGTATTTTCCAATACTGTTCATCAACGTCCTTCATCCCTCCTTCAATCACTACCTTTTTTTCCTCCTTTTTAAAGCACACTGTACAGTCATTGAATGTACCAAATTGTTCCTTCATAAGTAGAAATTGTGCTTCTGACATGGCTTCTTCTTTTCTGTCACGATTATTTACTGTACATGGTACACAATTTTCTTGCTCTCCTTTTGGGTTATTTCCAGAATAAACTTGTTTTGAACCTTTGGCAATCTGTTTGTTCTCAGATCGACTTAAAGATGCTTTTCCAGTACCGGTATCAGAATCTTTCAAATCTGTAATACTTGCAGCCCCAACACACTTTCCTTCATTAACAATGATTTCTTCTTGTTCACGTCTGACATTTTCAAATTCACTATCACAGTCAGATGAAGACTCTGAGTAAGAATTCATTCCATCGCTCCCTGTTGCACCTGATTCCTCATCTTTGGTACCATGTCCACATCTCTGGTTGCCACTGCTGCTACTTGACTCAGATTCTTCTTCACTATCACTCAAATCAGTTTTTCTGGAATGCTGAACGCCTTTGTATTTAGAAGGACTTGCATTTTGAACACTTTTCAATGAATATAATTTTTTTTCAACTATATCATGGAAGTTGAAGTAAAATGGTTCAATGACAATCTTCATCGAGTATCCTATGTTGTGTTTTGCCTTCTTCAGCAATTTTTCAACCACTGGAAAAAAACAAATACAGTAACGTTGAATTATAAAAATTATAATATTGCAGAATCTTGGGAGGGAGATAAAAAAAAAAAAAGGGGGGGGGGGGTGTCAATTTGTTTCTTTTTTGATGGTGGGTGATAAGATAAGTAGTCTCTTATGAGAAATCTTAAAGATGTTTTTCATAGGTTTCAAATATCAAAGCAGTTTTAAACTTACTCTTAATAATTTTTAACATTATACACAAAAGTTAAATAAAGAACAATCGCATTAATGAAATAATTTGTACTTGAAGGCTACTTACATCTTTCAAATCCAGCTTTTAAATGGACAATGCCTAAATGATGTTCTGACCATATGGTGCAAGATGAGACACAACCATCGGCCCCATTAAATTTCTGTTCAATGAATTTTTTTAGAGAGGTCTCATCTAAAGTATTTGGTTTTATATCATATATGACCACAGAGTTATCAGCTCTTTTTTCCACTGGCATCAGTTCTATTGTCTGACCTTCCAGTGATTCTCTTTTCACTTTCCTTGAGGCTACTTTTAAATCTGAAATATACAATTAATCAATAATATTGTGATTTTAAACATTATTAGTGCCCTGTTTATTTTTTAATGATTTAATGATTAATAGATTGAAGATTAGAATCAAAAGCTTTATAATAGTTATAGATTAGGGGTAGCCAACCCAGATGGCTTCACATGCTATTTTGTAAGTAAACTTATTTGTGGGTTCTATCTCATTCTTTATCCATAATCAAAAGTAAAATAACAAAATAAAACTTAACAAACATGTTTATCTTTTATCTCAGCTAACTTTAAAAATAGATTTCTATGTAAATCAAATGAAGAAGTCTATATTTATAAGGCTGCAAAGCTTAACGTATTGGGCCACATCAATTTCTCAGTTATGACATATGCAAATACAACAAATTTGGGCTAACAGTACTTGCAGTGGGGGGGGGGGGCGCTTCAGTTGTCACATTCCAGTTAAGTAAGTGTTACAAATGTTTTACTTCAATTTGGATATAAAAATATATAGTTGGGGTGGCACAACAAATTATCTTGTACAGAGTTTTGCTAAAGATGTCAAAAATATAATTAAATCATCATATCCTTTAAAACCCTTTATATTAATTTTTGCTTTTGTTCATGTGTTTCTGTGTTTAAGGCAAAATCTTTGGATAGCTAATCAGCCCATTTGCCTTCCTCATATCGAAACAGAAACTTGGCATATAGATTTGTTGCTGATGACAACACATTCTATAAAATTTGCAGCCCCACCACCACCAATAAGTTTGTCCGGTTTTTCATTGCAAAGATGAATAAAATTTGATTTGTTCAACGGTTGCATCTTTGGTGTGGAGATTAATTGTGTAGCTTTGTATTTGTAATGTATTTGGGTATGCTGTAAAGATAAAATGTATATTTGATTTCTGATGGGGAGAATGAAGGAAATATGAAACCTGTTTACGCCAGAAGTTTGCTCATTTACATAATTATTACATCTTAATAAATGAAAAATCGTGTACAATTATATAAATGTAACAAAAAAAATGCATTTAAAGGATTTAAACAAAAACATTTTGTTAGGGGTTGTTTAATTTATTAATATTTGTAATGACTTAAACGAAAACTATAAAACAATTAATCCAACAATTTATGTTTGAATAGTTCAACAGCTTATTTTAAGGAATATAAATTTTAAAAATTAACTATACCTTTAATATCCTCTTCAAGTGAAAAAAGAGCTGTTCCTTCAATAATTTTAACAAACTTTACACCAAGATCTAAAACTACTTCCACATACTCAGTCATCAAATTCTCGTCATAAGAAGGAGGAATATTCTGTATAATAAAGTAAGATCTTTTAATCAGCATCAATCACTACCATTTTCCATCATAAAAATAAAATTAAACACGAAAAAAATTTATATAAGTTTTACGGTTCAATAAATCTGATAGTCCTCAATAAAGTAGATTCTATTCAGTTTTTAAAAGTCAGCATTTAATTATTTTATGAGAAAAAGAAACAAATTTTTAGCTAAACCCAGAGAGTTGTTTCTCTAAAAGTTTTACTTCAAGATAAAAAGATAAAATACGTTTTTTGTCAGACTAAAGCTAATGTCAAGCCCTAAACATAAGCAAAGAAATGTTTGAAAACATTTGAAACATTAACAATGAAGTAAAATATTAGATGAATAATGTTGAGTGAATATACATTTGTTTTGTTTTTATACAGCTGTTTTTTTATTTCATTAATGTATATTAATTTTTAAGTTCATGATTATTTTTGTTAAATTGTACAGCGTGGTGAGCCCAGCCCTAGGCTGGGGTACAGCGCTACATAAAACCACTAATAATAATATACTGATATAAAAAAGAAAAATTTCTTTAAAATGCGTAAGTAAGTGCATTAAGAAGAAAGGGTAATTTGACTGAAAGCATGCATACTTAAAAGTTAGAATTGAAAGCTGAGTGCTGGATGTGAATATTTAAATAATGCATCCCCACTAACCATACATTATGCCTGTGGGACTCTTTCTCCGGATTTGAATTCAAAGCTTTTTATCTAAGATGAGGTGTCAACCAAGGATAACTAGTCCCATTCAACCTTCTGGGTTTCGAAATCCTATCCACAAGTTTGAAATTGACATATTTTTTAACCCACATCCATCCAGCCACAACCATTCAGTGGTATTTAACCTTTGTTTTTCAACCATGCCAACCCAGGTGAAAACAATGGCATTATTAATTAGAATATATGGAAAGTATGGAATGACGTTGTCATATTATCTCCAGATTAATACTTTTACATTAATACATTTAGATATTTTTACCTTGCAGGTTTTTATAAAACCATTTTGCCAACTTACATCTAAAACAACTAAGTATTGATCTATTTTATCCTTCCCTGGACGTGGCATTTTATAAACAGATGTTTCACACCAGTTCCACTTGACTTTTATGGTTCCTTACCTTAAGAAATAAGCATGTTACAAATAAGAGATTTGTGTACATCAGATGTCACAACATAATGTATATTCAAAAATGGATTATTTATTAGCTCTTTATTTAGTCCATAGACATAACCTATTACTATAATAATAGAACAGTCATAAGACAAGTGTCTTTCAAAGTTGCAAAGACAATGATGAATGACTGAGTAATTTAAGCAAACACCAACATTGACTAAGAGACTAACTGATTTACTTTACTACTGTACTGGTACTGTACCGTATAGGCAGTATTTAATATTTATAATTTATATGTAGCCTATATACTATATTATAATATATATCATTTTAATATTATAATTATAGTTACTTAGTTACGAACTGAATGAAAGATAATTGAATGGACTATGTTTGTAAACTTAATTCTTTAGTTTAACTAAAATAAACTACCACAAATGACATCCGAATAGCAGTTAGTAAAAATAGATCCGGACACACATCGCCACTATTCCGACCCGGGTACCTTTAGACCAGGGGTCTCAAACTCGCGGCCCATTAGCGGCCCACACGATATTTTGCAGCCCACGACTTGACAGCAAAGTTTAGTGTTAATGCGGCCCGCGCGTTTTCCCCATTCTAATATCTATAATGTGGTGACCCTCCGCGACGGTTTCAGTTGAATCCCACTGATTAGTCTAATTCTGATTTTTATTATGTTTGTATAGGTTTGGACGTTGTGTATAATGGTAAAAACAATTTTAAAATCGGCATAAAAGTTTATATATTATAGCATTTCATGAGACAAACATGGCCAAAATGCGGTTTTGAGAAAACACAATTGCAATATTGTATATAGGCCTATATACATCAAACGTTTAAAAGTCTATTAGTGACTAATGCACAAACATAATTGTGTACATCGTTAGCAATCTGACACAGTATCAAAGAATGTCTATTAAAATTGCAGTTAGTGTGTATGAGTGATGAGTGTGAGGGAAATCCGAGCATGTCATCTTGGTCACTTTCAAAATAGGCTTAGTTAGTCAAAAACGCCTTTTCTTCGATAAAAGAATCGAAATTAATTCACCTGACAGTAGCATCTTCCTTCGCATCAATAATTCATAAATGGTGCCTGCCCCTGCCTTCTGTTTGAATGTGTTTAGTTTTAAAATCGCTAGTGGGAATTGCCATATTTTTATTTTATTCTTTTTCGTCTTACCAGCAGCTCATAATTTTCATAGCAATAATTAGCTGAATACCTTTATTTTATATCACCGGGAACTTTATTTTCTTATTAAGGCTAAGGATGTAATGCCTTTTAACAATGTGATGGCTTAGTTCTTGAGAACTGAGAACCCTTAATGTTTTCATTTGTTATTGATAAAGGTTAATGAGATGATTGTAACAGTTGTACTTTATGGATTTTTAAATCGCTTTTGTGTGGAATACTTGATGCGGCCTAGTCTCACTCAGACTCTCCCTCCTGCAGCCCCCAGATAATTTAGGTTTGAGACCTCTGCTTTAACTTTAGACTTAATCATACTTAATCCTATTCGGATGTCATTTGTGTTAGTTTATTTTAGTTAAACTGAAGAATTAAGTTTATAAAAATTATAAACATTTAGTCCATTCAATTATCTTTCATTTGATACCAAACTTTGTCGTTCAAACCCTACAATAATATTTTAAATATTTTTTAAATTAATAAACCAATTCTCTCACTTCTGATGGGGGTCCGAATAGCCGCAGCCTTATTTCATATTCATACTTATGATAAGTATAAGACTTATGACTTAACTTACTTATAGTTATATAAATAATATAGCGAGTAGTCTTATAATATAAATATTAAAGTAACTAAGTTATTAAGTTTACTAATTATTTAAAGTCATTATCATGTAGAAAAAGAAAAGTGAATGTTTGAAATGCTCACACTTTAGGCCTATACACTCGAAAACTAAAGCTGCAATTTGAGGCCCAAGTCATTGCAACGGAGTTTTCTTTTCTGGATGAACCTGAGCCAGAGTTGTGGTCTTCTTTCTTGAAAATGAAACCGGGAAATTCCAAAACTGTCACAGATTCCTGGAAAATTTAGGTGTAAAAAAAAAAAGACTAAGTTGCCGAGCCGATCTAGCACCATAATGCAAAATTTGCAATAGTAAAAAAAATAAAGTTTTTAATCTAGTTAAATCTAGTAATAACTATTTATTTAATTTTGGTCATTTAATAATATGTATAAACTTTAATAATACAGAAAAATCGACATGATCACGATGAATCATGGAGACGAAGCACATTAAACTGAGTAATTAATTGAAATTGACTCACTAAGTCAGCGTCGGCGTCAGAGAGTGCAAAAAAAAAATATTAATAAATTATAATTAATTAGCATTATGCATATCACTATACCTAGCCGGCATCACAAACTCATGGACCACCAAATCAATTGCATTTTCCAAATTTTAACAACAAACATCGTCATAAGAAAAAAATAAGCAAATGGATTTTTTTAATTATTTTTTTTTTTTAATTATAATAATAAAATTTTTAAAAAAAAGTAAAAATTTAAAAATAAAACTCATGGCATATGTTACGTAGCCTACCTTAATATCGTTTTACAACGTAGACTTAAATCTGTTTTGAGATTTATCTCGGTAAATGAACAATGCGTAACAAAGGGCTGAAACCCAATATAGAAAGAATAACGATACCAACGCAAGTGAGTTATATTAATAAATAATCAATGTATTTATACTTTTAAACTTACTTCATATCAAGTGAAAATGTATAGGCTTACTACTTACAAATATTAATCCATTCACGGAAAAAAAAAATTGTCTAAGGTCTCTTGAATCTCTTTAAGTCTTGTAAAAGTCTCTGCCAGTCACAGTCGACTGTTATATTTATATAATTTATAGTGAGGGAGTCAGCCCCCCCCCCCAACCGAAAGGCTAGAAATTCAATCACCCGAGAGTAATTCTGCCTCTATGTAATAAATGTAAACCCTTCTGGAAATGTAAACAAATCTTTCCCAATCAAGGCAAGGGTGATGGGGCGGGGAAAGGAGTGGCAGCGTTTTATTGGTGACGTCAGGAACAAAAACAAAAGGGGGTGAGGTTAAGGTTGATACTGGGTCAACGCACGGGCTACAACAGACTAATTACAATCTTATTAAGGATATTAGTTATTTAAACCAGGGACTTGGAGCAAACTTTTATTTTGGTCATGGTCCAGCTCTGCTCCACTTCGGACAAATATTTTGTCAGCTCCAGATCCGATATGAGCTCCAGCAAAATTAAAAAAGGGGAGGGACGGTTTATGGGGTTCTCAATGTTTAAAGGAGGTTCTTAATTGTTTAAAGAGGTGTGTTTATTATTAAACATCTTATTAACTAGGTATTACAAATGCATTTACCAGGTATAAGAGCAGAGCAACATAGCTGGTAGAAGGTAACAAAGCTGATAGAAGAGTTGGGCAACAGCTGGTAGAAGAGTGGGGCAAAAAAGCTGGTAGAAAGAATAGTGTGACATTGATGGTAGAAGAATAGGGCTACATAGACATTGACATAGCTAATAGAAGAGTGTAGCATCATAGCATAGCTGGTAGAATAGTCAATCAACATAGATGTTAGAAGTGTGAGGTAACAACAAAGCTAGTAGAAGAGTGGGGAAACATAGCTGGTAGAAGAGTCGAGCAACATAGGCGACATAGCTGGTTGAAGAATAGGGAAGCATTGCTTATTTTTACATTAGTCATTAGTTTACAAAATTAAAAGGTGCCATTAGGGCATTAGGGAAAGGGTGTGTGTGGGAGGGGGTGGAATTACAGGGTTGAAATTGAAAATTAATTTTCATTTCCCGATTCTAAAATTACACAAAGATTGTACGCGTTTTTTTTTTTTTTTTTTTTTTTTTTTTAAAGATTTTTTCTCAAAAAAACATTTTAATTTCATGGAATTCCATTCTTTGGAAATCTCCGATGCCCGTTACATCGTTGACGTTAGTCATCAGGCAAGTTGAAGTGTAAAAGTGAAGTGTTTCAATTTCACTTATGATTATGAGCAGCACACACACATTTAATAATATATAATTTTATTTACCTTTGGACTTCGGAATCGCAATAAATTATTTTTTGTAGAAGGAAAACTATTAAAATGTGCACGTTCTTCACTTCGACATCGTCATCGACTCAACATTAACATTAGTAGGCCTATTAGTGTCATGAGTGAGGTAGGCCTACCGGGCCCATTTATTTATAATCATCATAATCATAATTATAATCATAGTCATAATCATAAGTCATAAGGCATGTCCGCCCATGATAAAGCCATACTTATTAAGACTAAATATGTAGATTATGTGAATGTATAATAGTAATAATAATAAATAATAATAATACTGAATAGCATAATAGCATAGTCATAGTTATAGGTATAGTATTCTCTAGCATTTTAATAGACTAGACCTTTTATTATTATTATGGTTTGTTTGTATTATATTTATATTGTAAATTTATGATGTGAAAAATTGAAAATCTGGTCTTATGGATGGTGTCGTTGTTACGACTTAGTTAAAAATAACACTGACACCGGTGTTATAAGTTAGTTTAACTTTACTCTTTAGTCTACCGGCTACATCATTAACTTGAGTCTTGAAGCCTGCCCACTACTAGCTACCATATATTATGCCTACGGCCTACAGAGCTACTGCGACACAACCTATAATAAGACTAAGGACCATAATTATTACTGCCCTATTACTATTACTATTTCAAGTAGGCCTATAGGCCTACCAAGATTGATGGTAAGTGGACAGTTCAGTGGATACAGTGTAGAGTAGGCCTAACACGAGTGAACACTACATTAAAAATGCAACATTCATTGTTTACATGTTTACAGTGAGTTTGAGTTAGCTACAGTGGTCTACAGTGAAGCCACAAATTTTCCTGCTATCGTACACCTAACTGTCCTAAGTTATTGGCCTAGGACATTGCAGCTTGGCCTTGGCCAGAAATCGGTATTGACTCCGAAAAACATGGTTATCAAATCATGGTTCTTTCTTGAAAAGAAATTTGGCTCTGATTTGAACAACATTTTAATCGTCCTGCTGCTGATTTTCTTGGCTCTTTGACTAATGAGTTTGCTGAACACTGGCTTAGGTCTATTGCCAATTTAAAATTTTAATAATTTGAGTATTAGATTTTCATCAAATTATATAGCAACAGTGACCCCTAAATATTTATCCAACTTACAGTAATATAAACTATTATGGCTGTGCCGAGGAAAAGTGGCGCCCGGACGAAGCCTGAAAATGCTGCCCTTCATTAAATGTAGAAAAATGTAACATGTGCCCCTGAGGCGGACCAGTAAAAAGAAGAATTAATGCCCCTTTTCTTTGTGCCGTGTACAGGAATTTATTGTTTAATTCTCTTGTAAGAGTCTATAATATAAAATATAAAGACAATTTTGGTAACCCTGATGTTGGTGCCTGGGGCGAGTGCCCCCTCCTCCTCCCCCAACCCCCAGTCTTAGCCCGGTCTATAAATTTTATTACTCAAAGATAAAGAAGATAGTTTACAAAAAGTGTTGTCAAGAGGAGTGAAACATTATTTAAAATATTTTTTTTAAGATGCTCATAAAGTTTACAAATATGTAAATGTCAATGTGCAAATTAGGTTTCAAGTCTGTCCACAATTTAAAATTGTTAAATCCAACCTTGAAATTCAAGGTTGGATAAAAAAAATTTTAATTGTGGATGGAGATGTAAAAACCTCTAGATACACCAATGGATCACTTTTGTTGAAATCGAATGGTTGTTTTAAGTCTTAATCATGCTTAATATTATGTTAAATAGGTAAAAATTATAAAAAAATGTTTTACTTCCAAGTTTTTTTGTGCTTAGAGCAAAGGACTAAATACTTATTAAATAAATTAATTTGTCTAAAATTAACCCAATTGTCTCACGATCTCTTTTTGCATCTAACTGCTCTCAAGTGCAGGGAGCTATATAGTTTTTTTGGAACCGAAGTTTTGATTGAATAGCATTGTGAACATTGTGTGCTACACATCCTATGTCAAGGAAGGACTTTATGGCTGAGTGTTTCATTTAGTTTTCAATATATATTGTTTTTTCCCCTTCTCTCTGCACCATCAAAATTTGCACAATTTTCTGTAACAGCTGATGTGATTACAGTGTTTCCATAATATATGGGTGAAGTAGAGCAGATATTTCTCCAGGTAAATTTTTAAATTCAAGGATTTTTACTTCAATTCCTGCTGATGACAAAATATATTGAACAAGTATAGGAAACAACTTGACAACTTTATGATTGGATGCATCAATGAAAACAGACACAACGTTTGCATTTTCCAGCTCATATTTACAGCGCTCCATTGCAAGAAATCAACAAGCGTGTCGACAGGAAGTCTTCATCAGGGAACAAACAACAGTAAAAAGAGTATTAAATAAAAATAGCACTTAGCTGAAAAGTAGTATCCGAGAGGGGAGCAAAAGAATTTAGGGCTCCTGTAAGTCATGTAAGTCTGCCGGTCACAGTCAACCGTATGATTATAGTGAGGGAGTCAGAACATTTCAGAACAGAAACTCTAGAAATTGAATGGTCAGAAAGTATTTTCTACCTCTATGTAGACCTTTTGGAAATTGTAAAAAACTTTCCCAATAAAGGGCGGTTGGGGAAAGGAGTGCAGCATTTGTCACCTAGTTAATTGGTGATGTCAGTAACAAAAAGCAAAGGGGGGTGGGACAAGTAATGCTCACTACGACTCCACATCAAGCAGGATTAGCTAAAACTAGGTTAACACACAGGCTATAACACACAGTGTGTAGTAAGCCTAATCAAGCCTTTGTTTTACATGCCTTGCATTTATACCTGTGTGTCGGCAAGTAGGCCACTTCACAAGGTCATCTGCATAGAGTGCCATCTCCGCCCTTAGCTCATCTGATAGGTCATTAATAAACTTTAGGAATAGCGTACAACTCAGTGACGAGCATTGTAGAAGACCCTCTTCCAGGACACACTTTGTTGAGCTGGCCCCTTCTTCTAAAACACACTGAAGAGGTGGCCACTTCTTCCAGGACACACTTTGATGAGCTTGACCCTTCTTCCAGAACAAGAACACACTGAAGAGGTGGCCACTTCTTCCAGGACACACTTTGATGAAGTGGTCCCTTCTTCCAGGATACACTTTGATGAGGTAGCCACTTCTTCCAGAACACACTTTGAAGAGGTGACCACTTCTTCCAGGACACAGTTTGATGAGGTGGCCACTTCTTCCAGGACACACTTTGATGAGTTGGCGTTTTTTAGTTTTGTTTGGTTAGTACAATCAGTAAGAAAGAACTTTAAACATTTGTACATCTTGCAATAAATCCTTGCATTGTTTAACCTCCAGAGTTAGCCTTTCTGCCATAATCCATTATAGGCCTGCTGGAGGTCAACAAAGTTTCCTGCAGTGGTTTTTTTTGTTGTGGATGCCAAGAAGGATACTTAGCCTCAGGCAGAAGAGTTGATCATCCTTACTGTCAAGTTCTGAAACCAGCTTGGTATTAAAATGTATTGAAAGAGCCATTTGTTTCTAGTTCTAGTCACCAATAGAGGTAAAAGTTGATCATTCTTTCTGCAAGTTTTCCAATTCAGGAAGTCAGGGATATTGGTCTAAAGCTTTTGACATAATTTTCAGCCTTTCATTTTTAAAACAATGGTGGTATAATGGCATTTTCCAAGATTTTAAGGATTTCACTTTTGCCTCAAGAACTGTTTATGACATTGAGTATGGATTTTTCCACCATAGGGCCCAAATTCACAATCATGGGGTTATGGATTTTATCTGTGCCTTGGGCTTTTCAATTTATATCTCGGCCTGGTGCTTTTTGATACATTATAATATTTCATATTGGAAATTTTATGTGTTGTGTAAATCAAGGACAGGTTGGGTTAAAAAATTAATTGTTTTATATGACATAAATTATACATTTTGTACCCCAAAAATTGTGTGTCATGGTTTTCTCAACAGTTCTCTTAACCACATAAAGCATGTCACAACCATGTTATTATGCGGGGACTTTTTTAATAACATCTGAAATAAATTTGTATTATTTAAAAGTAATTAAAAATGGATTCTTATAGTTAGTGATGACTTCAGATAAAAATGTGGTAGCTGTATAATCACTAATTAGATAACATACTTTGTTGAAAAATAATTACATATATATAACTAATTCTATTTTGTGTTCAAGTACCTGTATTTAATATAATTTGTCTGTGTGTTTCAATCGTCTTTGTTATGCTACAAATATGACATAGTTCATGGATTTAGTTAAATAATGCTTTTTGAAAAACTTTTTTGATTAAAAGTTATTCATTTCAGGGACGTTCCATGATGGCAGAGAGAGGAAGGATGCTCAGATTAGAAAATCTTCCACCAGATATTACTGCAGACATGCTTAGGATCATATTGTCTAATAAGAGACGTCAAGGTGGTGGTCCTGTCGACAATATAGATTTGAATAGTGAAGAGCACAGCGCAATAGTTACTTTTAGAGATTGTGAAGGTAATTAGATAAGTCTTAATATTGCTGAAATACTGCTAGTTGTAAGAAAAAATAATTCGTAAAATCTTTGAGCTTTAAAAATGAAATAATTTGTTCAATCTAACGTGGACTTTTTGAGCTTCTAAATTATTTTATAATTACATTAATATAGCTATCAATTAAAGCTCTAAATAGTCCTATGAAATACTGCCCTCTTTATGCTCTCATGAAATGGTGAGCTCATAAAAATGAAAACATGATATACAATTGTGCTAAAGAAATACCAATACAAAAAAATGACTTAAGATAAAGTAAGTTTTTTTAATTTGATTAAGTAAACACATGAATTATGCACAATAATGTTCGGAATGTGTTTCTTCAAGTCAATGCTTTCTTTAAACTTAAATAAAACAATAAAGAATTTGCATTTCTTAATGTTTTTATTTAATTTTTCTCTAGCTGTCAATATAATACTTAACAAAGGAAATTTTATTGAGATTCAAGAATTTGAAGCTAAGATTTTCTGTGTTGATGACATTTCCAAAAGTTTACAGAGAAGACGTGAGACTGTTCTTAAAAATAAAAAAACTCCTTCAGTGGCAATGAGTTTTACAGAAAAAAGCAATGGTAAAAATTTGAATAAACAAGAAAGTTATAACGCTGAATTTGGATCATCAAACAGGAAAAATGCATGTCAAAAGTTGCAACCTAGAAATGATAAGAGAGAAACTCATTCTTTGAGTGAATCAGAATCTTCTGAAAGTTCTGATGATATACATCCAACTAAAACAAGAAACACAAACAATATAAGAATCCTTGGAGATCAAGATGGAAACAAGCCTTTAAACAGACAAAAATATGGATTTAAGAGTGATGAATATAGAAAGCAAAATATGATGAGAAAAGGGCATAGTGAGGAAGAAAGCAAGAAATTTGAAATAGATGAGAGAGCTGAATCATCAAGTGATTTTGAATCTTCTGAAAGCTCTGAGGATAATTTTATACCTAAAACAAAAGGCTCAGAAAAAATGAGTCTTACAGATAACTATGAAGACAAGTCTAAAAAACAGAAAGCGCATTCTCTTGAAAGTCAAGCCACAGAAAGACCAAACATAATATATAAAAAGCCTCATTCTAAAGACAGAAGCAAAATCATTGCTGCTGATAAGAAAAAACCTCAATATTCTTCCTCTAGTGATTTTGAATCCTCTGAGAGTTCAGAAAATGAGTTTGAAACTAAACCAAAAAACAAAGGAAGAAATAGTTTAACAGATCAAGAAGATGTTATATCTTCTAACAGAGGAAATGGTGATGGATCTAAAGGGGCATCATCTATTAAAGGCTCTTCTAAAGATGAAAGCAGTGGTTTTGTATCTGATAAGAAACCCATCCAATCTTGTATTGAATCAGAATGCTTTTCTGAATCTTCAGTCAATTCTCATGATGATGATTCTGATGATGAAGATCTCAGTTTAACAGAAAAAGCTGAGAAAACTGTGAAAATTAAAATAATAGATGCAAAGAAGCAAAAGGACTTTTATCTCCTTTATTTAGAAGATGACGCAATCAATGAAGGAGAATTTTATGAAAAAAGCATTTTGCTGGATGGCTTGAATAAACATGTTTTTGTTACTTTTAAAAATGCCAAAGGTGAGTGAACTTAAACAATTTTTGAAAAATTAAATAAGTTAAAATAAAATATGTCATTTTTATTTTCTATAATACTGTTATATTTAAGGTTAAAAAGTTGAGCTATAATCTACTTGCACCATTATCTTCATATATATTTATAACTAAACTTTTAATAATTTCTCTTTTTAATTAGATGCCAGGGCATTTTGCCGTACCAGGCATGATGAAGATAGCAATATTACTAAAGTTACCATTGCAAGTGAGAATGACTTCAACTGGTACAGCAATCTTGTTGCTGTCTTTGGATATAGCTTTGAATCCAAAAAAGATATAAATGCATTTAAAGATCAGATCTCCAATTGTCTTAAACGGGATGTCCAAGAAATTATACAGTATGATGAACCAAGGTCTTTGATTGTAAAATTCAACCCAAAATTCCAGGACACACTTTGATGAAGTGGTCCCTTCTTCCAGGATACACTTTGATGAGGTAGCCACTTCTTCCAGAACACACTTTGAAGAGGTGACCACTTCTTCCAGGACACAGTTTGATGAGGTGGCCAATTCTTCCAGGACACACTTTGATGAGTTGGCGTTTTTTAGTTTTGTTTGGTTAATACAATCAGTAAGAAAGAACTTTAAACATTTGTACATCTTGCAATAAATCCTTGCATTGTTTAACTTCCAGAGTTAGCCTTTCTGCCATAATCCATTATAGGCCTGCTGGAGGTCAACAAAGTTTCCTGCAGTGGGTTTTTTTGTTGTGGATGCCAAGAAGGATACTTTGCCTCAGGCAGAAGAGTTGATCATCCTTACTGTAAAGTTCTGAAACCAGCTTGGTATTAAAATTTATTGAAAGAGACATTTGTTTCTAGTTCTAGTCACCAATAGAGGTAAAAGTTGATCATTCTTTCTGCAAGTTTTTCAATTCAGGAAGTCAGGGATATTGGTCTAAAGCTTTTGACATAATTTTCAGCCTTTCATTTTTAAAACAATGGTGGTATAATGGCATTTTCCAAGATTTTAAGGATTTCCCTTTTGCCTCAAGAGCTGTTTATGACATTGAGTATGGATTTTTCCACCATAGGGCCCAAATTCACAATCATGGGGTTATGGATTTTATCTGTGCCTTGGGCTTTTCAATTTATATCTCTGCCTGGTGCTTTTTGATACATTATAATATTTCATATTGGAAATTTTATGTGTTGTGTAAATCAAGGACAGGTTGGGTTCAAAAATTAATTGTTTTATATGACATAAATTATACATTTTGTACCCCAAAAATTGTGTGTCATGGTTTTCTCAACAGTTCTCTTAACCACATAAAGCATGTCACAACCATGTTATAATGCGGGGACTTTTTTAATAACATCTGAAATAAATTTTTATTATTTAAAAGTAATTTAAAATGGATTCTTATAGTTAATGATGACTTCAGATAAAAATGTGGTAGCTGTATAATCACTAATTAGATAACATACTTTGTTGAAAAATAATTATATATATATAACTAATTCTATTTTGTGTTCAAGTACCAGTATTTAATATAATTTGTCTGTGTGTTTCAATCGTCTTTTTTATGCTACAAATATGACATAGTTCATGGATTTAGTTAAATAATGCTTTTTGAAAAACTTTTTTGATTAAAAGTTATTCATTTCAGGGACGTTCCATGATGGCAGAGAGAGGAAGGATGCTCAGATTAGAAAACCTTCCACCAGATATTACTGCAGACAAGCTTAAGATCATATTGTCTAATACGAGACGTAAAGGTGGTGGTCCTGTCGACCATATAGATTTGAATAGTGAAGAGCACAGCGCAATAGTTACTTTTAGAGATTGTAAAGGTAATTAGATAAGTCTTAATATTGCTGAAATACTGCTAGTTGTAAGAAAAAATAATTCGTAAAATCTTTGAGCTTTAAAAATGAAATAATTTGTTAATCTAACGTGGACTTTTTGAGCTTCTAAATTATTTTATAATTACATTAATATAACTATCAATTAAAGCTCTAAATAGTCCTATGAAATACTGCCCTCTTTATGCTCTCGTGAAATGGTGAGCTCATGAAAATGAAAACATGATATACAATTGTGCTAAAGAAATACCAATACAAAAAAAATGACTTAAGATAAAGTAAATTTTTTTAATTTTTTTATTTGATTAAGTAAACACATGAATTATGCACAATAATGTTCAGAATGTGTTTCTTTAAGTCAATGCTTTCTTTAAACTTAAATAAAACAATAAAGAATTTGCATTTCTTAATGTTTTTATTTAATTTTTCCCTAGCTGTCAATATAATACTTAACAGAGGAAATTTTATTGAGATTCAAGAATTTGAAGCTAAGATTTTCTGTGTTGATGACATTTCCAAAAGTTTACAGAGAAGTGAGACTGTTCTTAAAAATAAAAAAACTCCTTCAGTGGCAATGAGTTTTACAGAAAAAAGCAATGGTAAAAATTTGAATAACCAAGAAAGTTATAACGCTGATTGTGGATCTTCAAACAGGAAAAATACATGTCAAAAATTACAACCTAGAAATGATAAGAGAGAAACTCATTCTTTGAGTGAATCAGAATCTTCTGAAAGTTCTGATGATATACATCCAACTAAAACAAGAAACACAAACAATATAAGAATCCTTGGAGATCAAGATGGAAACAAGCCTTTAAACAGACAAAAATATGGATTTAAGAGTGATGAATATAGAAAGCAAAATATGATGAGAAAAGGGCATAGTGAGGAAGAAAGCAAGAAATTTGAAATAGATGAGAGTGCTGAATCATCAAGTGATTTTGAATCTTCTGAAAGCTCTGAGGATAATTTTATACCTAAAACAAAAGGCTCAGAAAAAATGAGTCTTACAGATAAATATGAAGACAAGTCTTTGAAAAAACAGAAAGCGCATTCTCTTGAAAGTCAAGCCACAGAAAGGCCAAACATATATAAAAATCCTCATTCTAAAGACAGAAGCAAAATCATTGCTGCTGATAAGAAAAAAACTCAATATTCTTCGTTGAGTGATTTTGAATCCTCTGAGAGTTCAGAAAACGAGTTTGAAACTAAACCAAAAAACAAGGGAAGAAATAGTTTAACAGATCAAGAAGACGTTATATCTTCTAACAGAGGAAATGGTCATGGATCTAAAGGGGCATCATCTATTAAAGGCTCTTCTAAAGATGAAAGCAGTGGTTTTGTATCTGATAAGAAACCCATCCAATCTTGTAGTGAATCAGAATGCTTTTCTGAATCTTCAGTCAGTTCTCATGATGATGATTCTGATGATGACGATCTCAGTTTAGCAGAAAAAGCTGAGAAAACTGTGAAAATTAAAATAATAGATGCAAAGAAGCAAAAGGACTTTTATCTCCTTTATTTAGAAGATGACTCAATCAATGAAGGAGAATTTTATGAAAAAAGCATTTTGCTGGATGGCTTGAATAAACATGTTTTTGTTACTTTTAAAAATGCCAAAGGTGAGTGAACTTAAACAACTTTTGAAAAATTAAATAAGTTAAAATAAAATATCTCATTTTTATTTTCTAAAAATACTGTTATATTTAAGGTTAAAAAGTTGAGCTATAATCTACTTGCACCATTATCTTCATATATATTTATAACTAAACTTTTAATAATTTCTCTTTTGAATTAGATGCCAGGGCATTTCGCCGTACCAGGCATAATGAAGATAGCAATATTACTAAAGTTACCATTGCAAGTGAGAATGACTTCAACTGGTACAGCAATCTTGTTGCTGTCTTTGGATTTAGCTTTGAATCCAAAAAAGATATAAATGCATTTAAAGATCAGATCTCCAATTGTCTTAAACGGGATGTCCAAGAAATTATACAGTATGATGAACCAAGGTCTTTGATTGTAAAATTCAACCCAAAACACTGTCACCAAGGTACTTTATAGACATTGTCAATTTGAGTAGTTAAGTTTTTAATCATCATTTTAGTCACTATGATTATAACATGCACAATGTCTATGTCAGATTACCAAGTTACATTNATGAAGATAGCAATATTACTAAAGTTACCATTGCAAGTGAGAATGACTTCAACTGGTACAGCAATCTTGTTGCTGTCTTTGGATATAGCTTTGAATCCAAAAAAGATATAAATGCATTTAAAGATCAGATCTCCAATTGTCTTAAACGGGATGTCCAAGAAATTATACAGTATGATGAACCAAGGTCTTTGATTGTAAAATTCAACCCAAAACACTGTCACCAAGGTACTTTATAGACATTGTCAATTTGAGTAGTTAAGTTTTTAATCATCATTTTAGTCACTATGATTATAACATGCACAATGTCTATGTCAGATTACCAAGTTACATTTTCATCCTTAAAGGGAAAATCTTCAAAGCACATGTAAAGATAATGATCTTAATTGTGGAACTCAAAATAATTATTGAAGTTACATGTTACAAGTTACAAATGAGAATTTTCAGTTAGATCAAAACTTCCTCAATATAAATTTAAATTTGACAGGAAAAATAATTATACCAGGTAAATGTGATTTGTATATCATGTTATAGTAATATATTCTGCATAACAAAATAGTGATTGAATGAAATTAAAAATTATAAATTTAGATAATGAAATACATTTAATTTGCAAAGACTTTTATTTTATATATGTAACAACCTCTCTCTCTATTATAAATTATAATAAATATTGACTTGCAAATATTTAACAAATTGTGCCCCTTAAAAAGATATACTGCCTCCTTTCACTAGCCGTGTGCTGTTATTGCCTCATGGCCCCAAGGAGACTACATCATCTAAAAGATAGGCTTATGCTCATTAATTGGATAATGAGGAGCTCTTACAAATTATGCTTTTGCCAAACAGGGGATAATCTGAAGAGTTTTTAATGCCAACTTGTCAAAGTAACTGATCAAAACTGCCAACAAATATTTCACAATAATTTATAAAAATTTACTTTTCAGCAAAATATGGAGATTTGTTATGGAAATGTGCTGTGGAATTTTGTGACATTCACCTCATTACAGCACCAGTTGAGAAAAGCAACCAAATTTTGATATCTGGTCTCTCTAAAGGCACTGATAATAGCACTGTAGAGCGTTATTTGTCAAGCAAGAGACATGGTGGAAGCCGTGGACAGTTGAGTTCCCCTATTAAAAGAATCAATGATCACCAGGCTATAGCAACTCTTAAAAGTGTGGAAAGTAAGATAACGTTGATTAAATTATACAATTTTGAAATTTATATAAAATTATAATCTTTGTTTCTTGACCTTAACTTCAGTAAATGTAATTTTTGATGGTATCTGGTTAGTGACAGAGTATTTCAATAGTTTGGATAGTTATTATTGAGATATCAACGTAGCCCATTAATATGTTTGCTCAAAGGCTTGCATTGCTCTTTTTTATGTGCAATACTGACATCTACCTTATTATTCAAATCTTTTTTGTTTGAATAATTTTTTTTTCTACTAATTATGGAAAAGTTAATAATTTATTGTTCATACAAGAGGCTTGCAATCTTTTTTTCAAAAAGACTACTTAAATCATTTAAAAGACAGCATAAATGAAAAGATATGTAAACGTTTACATTTTCAAACATGCATGGGCTCAATGAACCCATTTTACTGTCACATTTGCTGCAAGTTTTTACACTTTGCTTATAGGCCTATATATTTTAATGTTGATTTTTAATTGCCATCCAATGTAAAATAGTGTTTTTATTATCTTATTTATAAAAGTTAAAATCAATAATAAATAGATTTTGAATATTTTTTTAGTTAGTTGGCGTATATGGAAGTTTTCTAAACTGGCCAGTTTTTTATATGTGCTTTAAAAATGTTAATATCTTTTTTCTATCTTCAGCAATAGAGAGCATTTTGAATAAAAATAATCATGAACTTGAGGGGAAAAAACTGAAGATTGATTATTTTCATTACTGCCTTTCACCAGAAGTTTATGAAAAACATTTTGGCTTGGACAGAACAACTAAAAATTTGCCTAAGAAAACAAGAGCAGAATATAAACCCAAAGATATAAAGAAGCCTGAAGATAGAGAGATTGATGAAGCCACGGATCTTCAACAAAAAGGAGACAAATCCCCCAAAAAAAAGAAAAGCCATGAGGAAGAACAGAGCTCTAAAACATTACCGGCAACTATGAAAAAAAATGACTTACAGAAAGGAGAAGCTGAAAGAATGACTTTGAAAGAAGGAGAGAAGAAAATAGATGCAGGAAAAGAGAGAAAAAAGCCTAGAAAGGAAAATAAAGATACAATGGCACAAGTTTCAATGCCCCTGGAAGAGCGTGAAAAAGAAATTTTGCAAAGTATCAATTTTTTTGAGGACTTAAAGATTGAAACAGAGTTTCAACCTGGACTCTTAAATCTTAGGGGCACTGATGAAAATATTAAGGTTGCTAAAAACACAATTTTTAACAAATGCTACAAAGATATTAAAAAGCTCCAATTCACTGCTAAGAACATGGATACCACACACATAGAACTCCTACAGATCAGTGGTGTCCAAAGTTACATCAACAAAATGTTTAAGAAAAAGCATTATCCTGCCTTTTTAGAATGCAAAGATGACTCGTTAATTCTACACTACTTGAAAGAAGCCGATGAAACCAAACTAATTGAAGTTGTTAAGAAACAAATTGAAAGTAAAAAAATGTCATTAGGTGATCAGTTTTCTATATTCCAATCCTTAAAAGGTTCTGAATTTATTGCACAATTATGTGAGGATGAAAAAGAAAAAACAAGCACAATAGCAAGATTGGATCAAAGTAATAAGTCCATTCACATTGTGGCACTTCGTAAATATATATACCAAGCCCAAGCGATAATCGAAAGATTTATGGAGGAGAATCAGATTCATGAACACGAAGTTCCCATGCTGAGAGGAGAGATCGAATATATTGAAAGATTTATGTCAGATACCTTCATTCGGACTATCAGTGACTTATTGGAACATGGGATATCTGTGGATTATAGTGAGGATAAAATTGTGTTTCAAGGGACTGAAGATGGAACCAGAGAGGCAGAAATATACCTGTCTAAGTTAAGGCAAGTATTTTTGACTGCGGGTATTTTGCTATAAGTGATGTTTATGATTTTTGTTTTTTTCATGGTCCTAAATGTTGATAAAATTTAATGATTTAGCTTAAATGAAAAATAAGGCTGAGGATTCTTAATATGTGGGAGTAGGGGTTCAACTAAAACTAATTTTTTTTAAATTAAAAATATGGGATGCAATTTTAGCCTTTTGGTTAAGTTAATGCTTCCAGATTTATTGAATGGTCTTTGCATTTCACAAATGTAAATAGATTATGAATAATAAAATAAATGGCTTTCTGTGTTTTTAAATATTTTTTCAGAGACAAGATTAAAGCTCAGACTTTCCAGCTGAACAATTTTGGAATTAAAGAATTTCTTTCAGATAAAGAAGGCAAAAAGTTAATTGATGACTTTGAAAATCTAAACACATGTGTGATCAAAGAAGATGACAATTCATCAAAAAGTTCACCTAGCAAAGCAAAAATTCACACGGTAACTTCTTCTGCAACAAAAGGCATTGTTCGCTGTCAACTTAGAGGCTGTGATATAATTTTCACATGTGGAAATATCCTGGAAGAGATTGCTGATGGCATTATTAACCCCTTACATATTTCAAAGAAATTAGGTGGTGGCTTGGGAAAAGCCATTTTAGCAAAGGGTACTTGTAATACTTTTCACTTAAACTATGAAATGGTATATTTATTTGAAATTAAAATTGGGCCTCCTTTTATTTCAAAGATAATCACAGAAATAAATTAAGTTCAAAACATATTTACCAAAGAAACTACAATATTATTGTTCTAGATCTATAAATAACAACTGGTAAATGCTAAAGCTCAAGCTACAGTAGAGAAAAAACTAACCAAGGTCATTTTTATGACTTATAAATTTACTTTCAAAATAAACATATTCATTGCATCTGTTGTATAATATAAAAATTATTCTCATTTAATGAATATCTTATTTATAATCAAAAATTTAAAAAATTAACTTCTTAGGGCTCAATCAGAAATATTTAATGTATTGGAATAGACATATTCGTGTTATTAAGTAACATATTTGTATCTACTTTTCCAATTAAAAGGTGGTGATAAAATTCAGGAAGAATTGAATAAAACCCCAATGATAACAGAAGTGAAAATTACATCAGCTGGTAAACTAAACAACATACAGAAAATTGTTCATTTTATTGCTGTAAGTCTACATGGCAATCTAGATTCATTGAAAGATACACTTCAGAGGTGTTTGCTAGAGGCTGTGAAAAGCAAAATCCATTCTCTTGCCATACCATTTATGGTGATATCAGGTACATTTTTAATTCTTCTTTCTAAAGTGTATATGAAAGTGTTTTCAAACTCTGCTACATTATAATGTTGTAACTTAGAGAAATAGTTTAATAAATATTTTTGTAGTTGTTATAATTATTATTTTTTTCTTTATCCTGGGAACAATATATCTTTGGTTCAGTAAGTGAAGCATGTAGATATTTTTCAAAGAGCATACAAATGTTCAATGAAGACATTGATAATTATTCTTAAAGGAATGCTCAAAATTGGCAAGATTGGATTTTTCACCGCATTGCTTCAAACAATTGAGACATTTTTGGAAGAAGAGGATACTGACAATTGTATTCAGAAAATTATCTTATGTGACAAAGAAAGTTCAAATGTGAAAGATATCATGGAAAGAAGTGAAGCATTATGGAGTATAGAAATCAAAAATCTTAGTACGATTGATGATGTGGGATATCAAAATTGTAAGTTGTAGACATTCACTTTATAATAAATCTGATTACTGTTGATAAATAGAATGTGATTAAAAAAAATGTAAATAAACATTAAAAAAAAATGATTTACTTAGAAAAAACAATGTTTCAGTATTTATTTAAGGGTTGTTTAATTTTAAGTTTAGTCACTTCTGAATAAAACAGTTATGTTTCAGAGTAATGAATAATAAAATTCACTTTGAATGACAAAGCCATAATATATAAAATGTGTATTAACATTGGGTTGGTTCCAACTTACTGGTTATGCTTCGGAATGTGACACTGAAATTCTAGTAAAAACATTTGGCATAGTGCCATTTCTATCAACATCATGTATGTTTATCAAATGTAATAATTAAATAAAGTACTAATGTGCATTTATATCAAAAGCAAAAAACCCACAGTATTCCCAAGAATTATCGAAAAGTCAACCAAGATCTCAAGCTTATGGACAAAGAATGGATGCACCAAAATTTGGACCCATCAGAGTTGATGTTAGGAAGGGTGTGATCACAAAATCCCAGGTTTCATAAATGCAATTCCATTAAAATTATAGATCAAAGCATGCTATCTTAACAAATTTATTTATGATTCAAACTTTTTTCTCTTAATATAAATGAGAATGTAATAGGTCGAAATGTCTTTGCTTGCATTAATTTTGCTAAAAAGGACTTTGTAAAAATCTATTTTTTAGACTGATGTTATTGTCTTTACTGTCAATGAAAACTTGGATTTAAAGATAGGACACATAGCTAAGAATATTCTGCGATATGGTGGAAACTCAATTCAAGAAGAGCTTAATAACAAGTATGTACAATGGGCAATTTTAAAATTACAATAGCTCTAAGGTTAAATTTTCTGCTGCAATTTTTCTTTATTGCACTTAAAAGGAACTAGCAGTTACAGGGAAACATGTTCAATGATCTTTGTAGGTTAAGTTGAGCTGTGCACCAATCATTTTGTAGGCCTAAATATGTGGATTTTTTTAAAGAGTTAAATTTAGATGAAAACTAATTCATTACTTAATTAATTTGAAGGAAATAATGACTGTTTTCAGTTATAGCTCAGGAATACAGGTTGGAGATTTTGCTGAAACTAAAGCTGGTAACTTAAAGTGTCGTCATATTGTGCATGCCTGTTTGTCACGTTACAAAGGAAAAAGAGCAGAGGTAATTTTTTTAACGCTGTAGAACAAAGATTTTTTAATGTTATAAAAATTGATTTTGGTATTGCAAATGGGAAAAGCATTTCTTCATAGATTAAAATATTATGAATATGTAAGTTCAATGGCAAAATGATAATAATTATGTAAAATTAAGCTTGTCTTGCCTTTGTGTATGTCCTTATTTCTGAAAGTAATGTAGTTCTATATTAAAGGTAGATATCTATTTATTTTTATTATGAAATGAGCTCATTTCCTTTTTCCTGAGCTGATTGCAGTCTCTCAGCCTTATTTCCATTAATCATTAATTTTATTTGGGACCTTAAATAATCTTTTTTTTCATGACATAGTACATATCAAGTTCTGTTTTATGAAGATTTTTTAATAAAAAGATCCACTTGGTTAGGCTTTGATAAGATTCATAAAAGAGAGATGACATGTTTTGGTTTGTTGATTCATCCATATCCTACCACTTTGCAATCTAAAAATGAAAATTAACAATTTTTTTAATTTTGAACAATTTGTTGTACTCATTGACATTTTCTAAAAATGCTACTCTTTTTAAAATATTCTGGCAAAGGATTACCAGAAATTTAATATAGATATTCGTTAGCTCCACTCCTTCATTAAAAATAATTGCTTCCTATCTGTTTTAGCTTCACTCCATTCTAATTATTTTATGTTAAAATTTGATATTATTATTATTATTATTTTTATTAGTGGTCTTATACAGCGTGGTATCCCAGCCTATTCTAAATATCTTTGATGCATCTACATCTCTCAAGCAAATAATACATTATATAAACCATAGTTAGCAAGAAGAGAAATGGACCAGGGTTCACTTTCATCATCTGCTTGCTCTTTTCAAAAACAGTATTTTGGATTCAGTTTAATTTTTAAAAATTTATATAACTTACTTATTGTAATTTTTCTATGTATAAATCTATGAATCTCTTACCTGTTCCTACAGATGAGTTCCTTGGTTTTCAAAATATTGACCAAAGTCAATGAGCATAAATTTGAATCAATCTCAATACCAGCTCTGGGTACAGGTGGATTGAAATATCCTGCAAGTAAGCAACTATTAATTATATCAACATAATGTGGTTTCTTACTAGTCAAATATGCCCTTGTAAGAAGCTACCAGTAATTGGATCTACATGGGAGACAGAAGCAGATAGGTTAAATGACTAAATGAAAAGAAAAAAAAAGAAAAATCTTTTAACATTTAGAACACATTTTTTTGTACTCTAGAGTCTAGAAACATTTACTATCATTCAAGTGTGATGGTTTTTATGTATGCAGCTGTCATTTTTAAAATTGGCTCTGTTTAATTCAACCTAACATGCTCTCATTGGAAGCCCACTAACTTTGCGCCTTCACTGTCATTTTTAAACAGTTCTACCATTTTTAGTAATTCATTCTGATAGAAATTCTTATTTACCACAGGGGAATCTGCATTGGGAATTCAAGAAGGCATCATTAATTTTGTTAAAAATCACAAGAAAATCTCATTGAAAAAGATAATGCTTATCATTTATGACAAGGACACAGAAGCAGAAAAGGTCAGTGAGTAAGTTTACCAGAGTTTAAAGCAACAGCTCCACTTAGTTATGACCTGCCTATGTCTCTTTCTGTTTGAGTTTTTTAAAAACATTGATTAGTTATAACAGTCCTGTTTTTTAACGAACTAATATCTTAAAATACTGAAAAAATAGTATGTTAATTGAAGAACTTATTTTAGCTTGAACTTTTGTTGTTGTTTTGTTTTGTGAGTAAAGCTTTGTCCTACTAAAGGCTTCTTGTATATGCTTATAATTTGAGTCTTTTAATCTGTTTTAGCTAGATGAACATAACTTAATTAACAAACATTTATTCAAGTATTGTTTAGTATCATAACTTTTCTCAAACAAAATCTTCATGAGAGTTGAGATATTTTAAGGAAATATACAAAGAACATAAGAAAGGAACAATTACATAAATAATCACAGACTCAGCTGATATATTTTTTCTGGCTCTTCAGGAATTTAAATCTGTTTTCTGTCCTGGAGAAAATGATGATGTTCAAGATAATGGCATGGCAGAAGCTGGTATGGCCTCTGCAGAAGATTATAATGAGCATGAAAGTAAGTTTCAATCAAAATTCTAGCATTTTTTTTTCTGAAAAGTTAAATTAAATGAAATTCAGCACACAGGAAAGGCATAGGCTCAACTTTTTTCAGGTATTGGCAGGTGAGTTATCTTAATTATGTTATGTTTTTACGAAATAGTTTTGTTTTATTTAGATGCATGATATTCTCGAAAAACACATCTAACTTTTTCTCTCTCCCCCCCCCCCTCTTAAATTGATTAGGTGATGACAACAAAGTTACATTTGGTACTGTTACACTGACTGTAAAGTGTGGTGACATCACACAAGAAAGATGTGATGCTATTGTCATGGCTCAACTTTTTTCAGGTATTGGCAGGTGAGTTATCTTAATTATGTTATGTTTTTACGAAATAGTTTTGTTTTATTTAGATGCATGATATTCTTGAAAAACACATCTAACTTTTTCTCTCCCCCCCCCCCCCTCTTAAATTGATTAGGTGATGACAACAAAGTTACATTTGGTACTGTTACACTGACTGTAAAGTGTGGTGACATCACACAAGAAAGATGTGATGCTATTGTCAATGGAATTAAAGGAAGCATGGACCTAACTTCTTCTGGTAATTTTCTACAAAAAAAATTATTCGAAACTTATTGGCTTTACATTCAAGTTTTTATATGCATTAATCAATCTTTTAAATTGCAATTTTTTAAAAACTTGTTTTCCACATTTCTAAGCTCTCCAAAAAGAACACATCTGCTGAGCAAAATTTTTACCATTTTAAAGTACTTTGAAAGTCTATATATTTGTGTTTATGAATTCGTAATGACGTGTGGATGGGCATGACTGGAGTATTCTGTATATTTGTTTGTTGATTGCTTTATTAAAAATGTCTGCTATCAGGGATCATGAATATTACCATATTCTAATTGTACAGTAGGCCTAATATCCTGGAACATTCGCGCACCATTGCAGATCAGGAGAATTTGCGAATGTTTGGTATGAGTCACTAAAAATGCTATTAAAAGCTTATTTCTAGAGTTTAACTACTAAATATGACACAAATCATGAAGCGCTTAAATTAATTTTTAAAGTTTAGCTTAATATATTACCCTTTAAAAAAATAAATGGTTGATGACAAAAAATATTTTTTTAAATGGTTGACATTAAAATGAAAATATAGTACAGTATTGCTGAATGGCTATTTGGCCTACTAGCCTGTTTACAGTAAAGTATACTAATGTTGCCTCTACAGTATTCTAATTCATTGGCTGCCATTTTCTTTTGCACTAACTTTAAGGATTTGCAGATCTGTGAAAAAATTGTGAATGCAAATTTGTTAGTGTTCACTGAAAATTTTGCGAATCCGTAAATTCCCGAAACACGAATGCATGAGGTATTATTTTATATTTTTCTCTGTATCCTAAGGTTCTGTTTGCAAATCCATTCTTAGAAAATGTGGGAAAAGTTTTCAAGAGGAATGCAGTTCAAAGAGTAAGTGATTGTGTCTTTAATAAATCTAAGTTATGTGATAAAAATAAGGCTAGATTAATATACTTGATACAGAGCCTTTCCATTAAATTAATTTTTCATTTTTATGTTTCATTTTTTTTGTTTCATTTTTTTTGTTTCATTTTTTTTTTTACTAACTAAGCATTTTGGATAGAAATAGAAAAGGTAAATCTCTTAATTTAAAAAACAACAATTGACAAATTTTAAGACATGCAAAAACAATTAAATGTAATGAATCATGTCTGCAAATGGCGAAGTAGCCTAAATTAATGACATAATCAAAAACTATACTATAAATACAATAATGTGACATGGGTGAGTGCAGGTGACAAACATAATTTTCTTCTTATAACATGGTCTCAGTGTTGGGACCCAAGAATTTATGTCATCTGTTGACTAAAACTTCCTTGGTGCCAGTTCCAAAGACTTACAAGGTAATTTTTAATTTTATCATGTCTATTTCTATCGATTTTGCATTTCGCTACAATTAATGAAGCTGAAATGTTAATTTTTATTGCTTTATAGTTGAGGACATTAGTGAAGATGGTATTGCCCTTACATCAGCGGGCAAATTGCCATGCAAGAATATTATTCACATCAACATGGATAAGTTCTCTCGTAGTTTGGATAAAGGGATATACAAAGCCTTACAACTGGCTGAACAGAACGGATACACATCTTTGTCTATTCCTGCACTTGGAACTGGTAAGTGAATTTCAATATAATGCATATTCTAATAACTATCAATAATTTTACATTGGGTCCCAAAAAGAACACTCTTTTAGTGAAATCCTAAGGAGTCCATAGTGATAGTAGAGTGGTGAATAGTTGGGTTCACAAGTTCTTGATCTAAAAGCTTAGTTCAAAATTTTAGTTTGAATGCTGTACCGAGCAGACTTTGATGTATGGTTCATTTTCCTCTAAACAACCTTTACAGCTATTTCAAAAAGAGTTTAAAAAAAAAAATTTAAATTGTGCTTCGACCTATCCAACCTGAGACAGAAAGTTTAAAAAAAGGTAATGCTACTATATTAAAGTAGCATTAATTATGGAAAAGGAATTAAGTTAATTCAGTGTTAATACGTGGTAAGAACAATGTGTAAAAGAAGCTGATGAAGTAAACCAATCATGTATACTGTGATTTTTACAGCTGGAAAAAGCTGCATGTGACTCATGTCCAGTGTGTTGGACACTCCTTGGCTACACTATGCTCCTACCTGCCATTTGTTAATGTCATGAATACCAATGGGTTAAATACTTTCTATATATTATGTGGCTGACATATTACACAAATGGAGGGGAGGGGGTAATGATGACATTACTGAAAATCTATGATTAATAGACATGCAAACAAGTTTCTAGGAGTTTCTATACATCATTTCATGATTTATTTATGGTTTGATAATTTTAAAAAAAATACAATTATGAAATATCCATTCTCAGAAATTTTAATTTGTGTAACAAAAAAATAAAAGACTTGTAAATAAATAACATATATTTATAAAATAATAATCGTAATGATTTTGTTACCTTAATTTCAGCTAAAAAAGGAGCTGACCTGAGTAAAATTAAAAAAATGATTTACAGCACCATTGAAAAATTTGGAAACACTGCCTACAGTTTATCAGACATCAGACTGGTTGTTTACCAGCTGGAAATGGTGCCTGCCTTCCTTGGTTCCAGTTCCAAAGACTTACAAGGTAATTTTTCATTTTATCATGTCTATTTCTATTGATTTTGCATTTCGCTACAAATTGAATGCTATTTTTTTCCTTTTTATAATAGAAGTTATATTATAGTGTCATAAATTTCTTTAAAAAATTAGAAATTGATTATCTTTCCCCTTGAATAGCTGCTTTGCATGGCTGATAAATTGATTTCATCCAGATATTAGCCCATTGCAAGTACATGGTTTTGACGCTGATGGGTTAATACCACAAGGCTGCCAAGCATTAATGTGTAACAGGGCCTTTCTTATAAAAATTTAGTCAGTGGGATGAAAACTTTACAGTGTTTAAGTGAATTTATTTCAAAAGTTGGGGCACTTTTAATGTTTGGCTAAGCATAATCTTCAAAATTTTGCAATACTGCCATTCATAATATTATTTTTTTAAAAATTTTGATTATTGCAATAATATTTGTCCTAAGTTAATTTTTCCGAGATTCAAGTTATTTTAAAAAATTAACACAGAACAGGCAAGATCAGTCCCAATATCAGATCATGTGGACCTTATCATCTTCACAGAAGAGAAAGAAAAACTTCAATTGTTAATTCAGAAATTTAAAAGAGACTGTGATTTATACTTTACCAAAGAATTGGTGAAAATGCCAAAGCTAGAGAATTTTACTAAAGAGCAGGTATGACTATGTTAACATTAATTAATTTATACGTTAGAGCAAGGAAAACAATATGAAACTAAATACTATTTAGCGATAGTTAATACATATCATTGTGGATATGGCACATATATAAAAATAACAGGTTCAAAATGACAGTCTCTAAGTATAACCTATTGATTCAGATGTTAAGAATGTAGATACTGCATCACTGACTCAATAAGAAAAAAATGTCATTACCATCACAAATTGAGCGCAAAAAATAGAGGCATAATTACCATTATTATTATTGGGAAACATTCTTAAAATCTTAAAAAACACACCTTTGCCATAAATATCAAATTGATGTACAGTTTTAAAGTACCAAGTTAAAGAAATTTATTCATAATATACCTCTCTACATCAGAATTCATTTGAACTATATATTATCAGTGTGTCACTAAAAAGTTAAATGTAAAAATAATTTGTAAAATGTTAACATATTTTAATGAAATTATCTCATTTCTTTTATAATGTAGCCTACTTTAAACGCAAAATATTTGTTATTGCTTGCCATTGAATTATTTGTTGCAATTTTTAAAAAAGCCTTATTGTATTCAAATATGCATATAAATAAATAAAAAAATCAATATATATATATATACATATATTATATATAATAAATGCAGATAAAGAAATTACAAAATGAAGGATTGAGTCACAGGATTCTTCTTAAAATTGATGCTGCTAAAGGCTGTGTTTATTATGAGGGGCTCAAGAGCAACACCAAGGAAGTCTTACAGTGTATTTATAATCTACATATTGATCTGGCCAATAATAAGATGCTTAATCTGAGCAAGAATACAGGAGTACAATGGGAATACAAGAGCAAGGAGAAGTGGAAAAAGTTTGAACCTCTGTTAGTATTGTTAAAAATGTGTATTGAATTTATGATTAACATTAAACTTTAGTGTTCAAATAAATAGTCAATATATTTTGTGTAAATATTTTTTAATTGATTGAAAACAAATTCTGGTTCTGGATCTGGTATGTTTTGCTGCTGCATCCATGTACTGGCATCTTTGCAACGGTTGGGGATATGATGTTGCTATTCTAACAGCTCCTAGCTGATGCCAGGGAAGCCTTGAAGCTTTTGACCGATGTCGAGTTCACAGGGGCATTGTTCAGGTGGTTCCATGGTATTATTGTGCGTGGCAAGAAAGATTGTTGATACTGCACTGTGTTGCACCGAGGCACTTTGAAGCATTTTCTATTGTTTCTGGTGTAATTGTTTATGGGGATGTCAGTGGTGTAGTCAGTGTTTAGTGAGCGTTTTGCTCTGATCAGTCTACCCAGCTTCTGTGGGGTGAGTTACGTGCCTGCCAGGATGGCCAGCACCAGTCCTGTGATCACTTTATATAAGAATATCAGGCGGAGTCCCTCTCGTCTGTCTTTAAGTGGGGGATGTCAAATCTATTTAAGAGGCCAGTGACAAACAATAGCTGTGTTTATTATTTTTTAAACTAATATTTGTTGAACATTTTCTTAACCCCCTAAAAATGTTAAAATCATTTTTTTTAAACAATCATATTGCAAAATTACCTGCAGTCCACAAAGAAATTTAAAAAAAAAAGTATACCTTGTATAAAATATTAAAAAAATAATGGTGGGCCTAATTTATAATGAAACATTTTAAATATTATTTGCTATGTCTCCCCTTTCTTGTTTGAATATTTAAAGATTTACTTTCGTATACACTTCAAAATAAAAATTGAAATAATTAATAATTAAAGGAAAAAGTAGGAAATAAAGATTTTTAATGCAAATAATTATCTTAGCCAACTAAAAAGTATAAAGTAAAAAAAAGTAGCTTCACTCATGTTGTAATTGTAACTTTGAAAATAAATATTTATTTCAAAACTTGAATCTCTATAGTAAAACTTTTGTTATTAATAAATATAAAATTGGGTTTCTATACACATTTTTAATATTATTCTGGTTTTCTCTTATGTAGTATAAATTCTGAATTGGAAACAGAACACAAAAGACATCAGAATTTAGTGATCAAAGATTCCAATGGTCGCTCTTATAGAGTTGATTTTACAAAGAATCTGGAGTATTTGCTAGATTCCCAAGGAAATGTTACTAACAAGACCTCCCAAATCAGGAGATGTGATCTAACTAAAGGTGAGCTTTATCAACTACATAGGCCTGCATTTTTATTTAAGATTAGTATACTAAACATGCTCAACTGTAACTAGCCATGCATTTAAACTGTATTTTCTATTGTTATACTGTAAAAAAATATCTGGATGCTAAGATAGCTTTTTCAATATATTACTAACTCCCCTTTGCATAAGCCAGTGCTGTCCAACTTTTTTGACTCCGGGGGTCAAATTTTATCCTTTCGTAAAACCTAGGACCATGCATGACATCTCAAAAGAAATAAATTTTTAAAAATTACTTTTTAGAAAATGATTCAATTTATTAACATTTCGTACCTTATGCATAAAGAATCATATACCTGTTAGCAGTATCATCTAAATGAATAAAAACTATAGCACATCTTTAATGCCATAATTTGCTTTGACTTGAACTTGCAATCTTCTTAATTTGTGGCTGGTATTCACTAACTGCTGCCCTTATTAGGTTTCCTAAATGTTTTTCAGTCTATGGGTTTCATTTTTTGGACTTAATGTCCATCATTACAGAGAATCCAGCTTCACAGACATGGTCAATATCTTCTTACAACATTTCAGTGGTCATTCATCTGAAGAAACATAGGTCATCTATAATTCAGTGGCAACACATTCGTATGTTTTTCACAAAGAGCCATGTTACGCTGAATTTTGATGATTTCAAGCTGTACTGCACCTTCATCTGCTCCTAATAATGACACCATTTTTGTGGCTACAATAGAGATATCACACTTAAAGGGATTTTTTAATAAAAAGTAAAACAGGAGTAAGACTGAGAATATATTTAAAACAATCTGTGAAATCTATCTTGAAATTTTGTAACACTTGATTTAATGGCTCACTTGTAAACAGCCTTGGAAGTGGTTGTGCAGCCTTTGCAAGGGTTGAGAAGTGAGTAAAATTCGACTGATTTAATAGAGTATTGAATAAAAAAAAACTAATTTCTTTCATCAGCCTTGGTAAGATTTGAAAATGTCCTTGCAATTTTACTTTAACTTTATTAAGGTGATCTGTGATATCAGTGAGAAATGCTAGCCTTACAATAAACTCAGGAATTTCCATATAATTTAACAAATCACACTTTGCTTTGGACCTGAGAAACAGTTTCACTTCTTCAATTAGATCCCAAAATTTTGCCAGCACTTTCCCTTTGCTCAGACAATGAACATCAATATAAAGAAAAAAATCACCCCAAAATTTTTAATATAATTCAAAGTGAGTCTCAAAATCTGTATGCACTGTCTTCTTGAGGTGTCTCTGCAGATTGGCCTTTTTCATAACAGAAATACTAGTCTGGCTTATCAAACACAATGGCTTTTCATGAAACAAAAAAAACAAAAAATTCCAGTTCCCAGGAAGTGTTAAAAGTACAATTTTCTTCTGTAACATTCCGTTTTGTACTTGCCATTTTGGCTTTATCTTTTTAGAAATAAAAATGGTTTCAAGAATTGTTCGACCTGTCTCTGTGGGTTGGACAGCGCAGTTCAGTAGCATCAAGCTTCTTTTTCTCCTTCACTCACTAAATCAGAAACAGATTGGTTGTTGTAAATTGTGCTTTGAATTGTTCTAAAGATCAACATTGAAATTAGGGCGTACAAAAAACTAATTCCTTTTCCAAATTTTTCTCTTCATTTTTTTTCTGATCTGGTTCATTAGAAATTAAAAATTTAATTTAAAAAAAAAATTTTCTGAATTTAATTAAATGAGTTAAAATCCTTGCTATGCATGCAGGAGAAGTTTCAAGTAAAACCAAGATGTTCACTCTTAAACTATTAAGTGTGCTAAACATTAATTTCTATCCATTAGGCCTATACATATTTGTGTGCTCAGAAGAAAATCCTTTCTAGCAAAATGATTCACAAATAGTTGTTCTTATAGAAATTATTACCCCTAAAGTCATGGTAATAATAAACCTTGTATAAACATTTTTACCTTTCATGACCACAGCACGCGAATAGGAGCAGTGTATTCAAATAAAAAAGTCCAGACTTTTCCAACTCTGTTTTTGACACTATTTCAAATTAGATTCAAATTCAAATTAGCTGATAAAAAAATCAGTAAAGTCTTCTAACTTATACGCTCGAGTGTCTTTATTAATGATAACATAAATATGCAATTACACCAAATGAATGTTTACTCAAAATAAATATAGGCCTATCACATTTATCTATAAAATAAAATAATTCAGACAATGTAATTAATAAATGGATCATGATGACCAACTTATTGCTATTGTGGAAGTCAATATTCAAGGCAATTGACACAAAATTTATGTAGAATTATGTTAAGCTTCTTAAGGAATGTCACTGTAGAAGACACAAAGAGATCTGACACAAAATAATAGAGAAATATCTGTGAAGCCTTACAGAAGCTGATAAGGCTAACTATGCTAGCCGGTGAGGCTAACTATGCTAACAGCTCTAACAGATGTAGCCGATGGACAAAAGTTGCATCCCTAGGCTCCATTTGGAAATGAGGAGTTTATAAATCCATTTCCAAATCAACAATAAGATTAGACATTTTTCATTATCTACATAACAGCACTTCTAAATATCTTTTTCTACTAAAATTAAAAGATTTTGGACATTTTCAATATTTCTGTAATTTCTTGGAATGTTTAGGTTAATTAATAATTTTAAAAACATGATCCGACTTTTCTTAAGAATGTTTTTAAGAATTGCACTTGGTTATTTCTTGAACAGAGGAGCCGCTTCCAACTCACTGGGATTCAATGGAAAGTGATGAAACTGTGAAGCTAGTTGAATTATCAACAAANATATTTCTGTAATTTCTTGGAATGTTTAGGTTAATTAATAATTTTAAAAACATGATCCGACTTTTCTTAAGAATGTTTTTAAGAATTGCACTTGGTTATTTCTTGAACAGAGGAGCCGCTTCCAACTCACTGGGATTCAATGGAAAGTGATGAAACTGTGAAGCTAGTTGAATTATCAACAAAATCTAAAGAATACAAAGAAATATTGAAAAAGCTTCAAACAGCTAATGTTAATTTTGCAACTAGAAAGGTAAATTTCTTAAATTTTAAGGTATTTTATATTAATACCAAAAACAAAACAAAGAATTGTAATGCATTTAAACTTAAATTATGAACACTATGGTTGCTTTCTCATCTTTAGCAGTTAGTTGAAAATTTCTTATTTTCATGAAACACTATAAAAAATTCTGCTTCATATTTTATTTTTGTAAATATTTCTAATAGTTCTAATTACTCTAATAAAATTCAAAATTATCGTTGTATTATTGTATTACATTTTTTAATTGAGGGAAAGTACAGAAAGAATGAGATATTTCTTCTCTTTAATTCAGTGATGATATCAACAAAATAGCAAGTTTCATTTATTTAATATTTTCAAATTTTCATTTTAAGTCTTTTCTTTTGTGATTGTCTTAAAGAAAAGTAGAGACTTTCAAATCTTTACATTACAATTTCTCTAATGGTTACTGTGCAGTGAAAGAATTTAATTTGATCTCCCGGTGTTAGACTTTCATTAAAGGCATGAATTTGAAGAAATAAATAGGCCTACACTAAATTTTCCAGTATGCATCATTGAAAAATAAATTATTGGTCTCATTTTTCATCAATCAATAAAAGTCTCAAATTAATACTGTTACCAGGTTTGTATGACAAAATTTGGTATCAAATGAAAGATAATTGAATGGACTTAATGTTTATAAACTTAATTCTTCAGTTTAACTAAAATAAACTACCCCAAATGACATCCGAATAGCATTTAGTCTAAAGGGACCCAGGTCCGAATAGCGGCGATGTGTGTTCATTCAATTATCTTTTATTCGATACCAAATTTTATCTTACAAACCCAAAAATAATGTTTTAAACATTTTTTAATCCCAACCTCTCACTTCTGGTAGCCAGGTTCGAATAGCCACTTCGTAACTTTAAGGTCTACATTTGACCTCTTCTACCCATGAAGATACCTAAATAACCAAATTATAATCAATAGGCATGTATATACATTTAATTTTTTTTTAAAGTGGAGCAGGGTGCAGTCATGAAACCCTGAAATGATATCATAAGGTATGTACTTTAGAAACTGCTGTCAAATATATCTCTGCTAAAATACAATGGCTTGAGCTAAATTATTTTAACTGTATTTTGAGAGAATTTAAATTGCAATGTTTATTATCTGTACAGATTGAGAGGGTGCAGAACAAGACTCTTTACCAACAATACTCTGTAAAGAAACGTGAAATGGACTCACGCAACCCACCTGGCCATGAAAATGAAAAGTTGTTGTATCATGGCACTGCATTTGCAAACACAGATCCTATCAACCACAGTGGTTTTAATCGCAATTACAAAACAGGTAAGCTTCATACAGATTTCAAATAATTTTGATAAATTTTGTTAAGAATAATGGCAAAGAGTAAATAGCTCAGCAGACAATGAAAAATAAAATGTTTAATTTATTTTTCATAACTAAAATTAACTCGTTTCTTTATATTACACTTTATGAAATAATCAACCAACCAAGTTAAAAAAACAACATTTTTATTCTAGAATTGCTCTCACAAATTTTTCAATTTACAAACTTCGTGTCAGTTACTCACTTACTCATTAGATAAATTTAGAAGTCCAATTACATTTATGTATTTCCTTTTTTTTATGTTATTTTCCATATGTTTTTAAAGTATATTTCCAAAGGTTAGTTTTTCTCATCTCCAGTTGCAGCTTACGGAGATGGAGTCTATTTTGCTGTTGATCCAAATTATTCTGTAAGCTATGCAAAAGTAGATCCAGCAACAAACTTACACAAGATGTACCTGGCAAGAGTATTAGTGGGGGAGTCAGTAGTAACCAAACAAGGGGATAGAACACCACCTAGCAAACCTGGAAAGAATTATACTTATGATTCTGGAACTGATGGAAATGGAGTCATGTACATCATATTTCATGATGCTCAGGCCTATCCTGATTACCTGATTACATTTTAAATTTAGTCTCTGTGACCTTATTGAAACTCTAAATGAAACCATATTCATATATTTAATAATTAAAATTTCTCTGTGTGTTCACTTGGCCTCTAACTTGTGCATGCATGTGTTTAAAACCTTTAAAACAGGCTTACACAAAAAGTCAGTGTGCAAATACACGTTTTAAAACAATACTCAAATTTATTGATCTCTATTGTTGGTGTTTTCCAAATGAAAAATGTGCACGCAAAATAAATACGTAACTATTGTTAGTTGCTTTATGCATTTAATTGTTGTTTGGCCAAAAATAATGCTTCTTTCTTGCCAGCTGTAAGAATCTGAAACTGAATCAGTTGAATAAATTAATGCAATGCATATATTATTACATTGGTTGACAAGTCAGTTCATAGATTTTTTCATCATTTCATAACAAAAACAAATTTCAACAATTCTAAAAATGTTGCACAGAGAAAATTTATTGAATTCAAAGCTGCAGGAGAAATAAAAGGAACCTTGATTTATTTGTATTTTAAAATGAAATTATTGTAAAGGCTCATTTTCTTTAGGGGATACAAAACAGTTGGTATTGTATTCTGTCTTCAGAAATAATATACAAACATGAAGATCTTAAATGGATAACAAATACTTTATCAACTGACTACAAAATGGCCTTGCCATGATTAAAAATTTAATATAATATTTTGCTATTTAATATAGGGGACATATATACTCTAAAGCCATCACACCACTCCACTAAAGCTTTCACCCTACTCTCTCTCAAGCCATTTATTCCATAATTCTCTAGTACTCAAAACTCAGTACTATAGGTACAGAAAAACATAATTCACATTTACCAAAATATAACATACTAACACGAACATCCTCTGGGTTCTTGCACATAAAAATCATCTTATAATCATATCTAATGTTCATCAAAGTAATTTTAAATATTTTATTATCTAATGAAAGGTTGATATTGTCAAAATGTTTATGGTATTTTTCTAAAATATTAAGCCCCTTAAACGCTTTTCAAATGTTCATTTTTAATAACTTAATCTACATTAAATTAAAATTAAATTTATGGCATTTTTAACTTGAAATATTAAATGTGTTTTTGTAATTCATAAATAATCTGGTATTTTGATTTTAAATACAGTAAAAAGAAAATGACATTTGAATTTTGTAACTTTTATAAAAGAATTATAAAATAAAAAATCATTTGTAATATGTTTTGGCATATAATTTATTTTATATACAACAGTTTGTGACTTACACAAATATAAAAATATGTGTGATTAATTTAGAATTATTGAATTTCAATCTTTAATCTTCAACTTAAAAAGTCAGTCTATAAATATATACAAATAAATGAAAGGATATAGGCCTATAAATTCTTTGAATCAATTTGGATTGTGTGCATTCAATAGCCTATTCATTTTTTTGTAATAGTCATCATTGGCACCTGGGAACATGTTTCTAGAAATATTGGGAATTTGTGACCTAAAATTTCTTTACTTAAAGCATAAGAATTATTATTTGTTTAAAATAAGTTAAGGTCATATTAGTTTTCACTCTCTCCTAAGTGTCTACATTTAAATGAACTATTTCCTTTTTGCTTGTGCTGAAATATTTTACTTGTTTTATTTGTTTAATAACCTTTTACACCTTTTTGGGGGTATGTTTAAAATTTTTTTTACATAACAAAACACATACATTTATATATGTACCCTTTAAGCTTGCTAGTTCTGCCTAATTAGTGGTGATCACTATTGATGTGTCAATATTATCTTATCCTTGCTATTTCTATAATAATAATTGGTGTTGCATGCAAACATAACCTTTAAGCTTGTGTAAGATATCTACTAATGGAAAGGGTCTTTGTTCTTCAACCATGTATCAGGCTGTTTATGTATACATTTAGGGCACACTTATTTAATCAATTATAGAACGTGTTATGTTGGTTATAGTATCTACACTTGCATGTGACTGAGCTGGCTCATGCATATGTCTAAATGTCAGTCATAAAATAAGGTGTAGTAATTTCATGGTGTATGGTATAGTCATTACATGCATGCTTCACTTTCTGCCTGGTCAGTCTTATGGCAGTTTTAGACCTGTTTAGTTTTACGATTTTGGCGTACAATGTAAGAATTTGAAGTGTATACATTATATATACTGTGTTTACTTTTTTACTATTAAGATAATGTATTGGGACGATTTTGTGATGATATTGTACGATTTTTTAAAAGTTTGTGGGTAAACAGGTCTGCAGTGTAAGCTTAAGTACAGTGTTTGTATGGGGTTGCGATGTCATTTAAAGAGTTGGTGGATTATTTCATATAAAGTTTCTCAGTTGTGATGCTTTTGTAAAAGTTAAATTTGAAAACTGTAGCTCATGATTATTTCAGTTGTATTCATTTATTTTTTAAGTATTTATTATTTAAGACTTTCTTTCTGCTTTAAATCCATTGAGTTTGTTTCTAGCATAACTTTGTTGTCCCATGTGACAATTTTGCCACAGTTGATCGCCTCTGCCTTGTAGAGAGAAAGGAGTGAGAGTGGTGGATAGGGGAGCTCAGGTGAAAGCCGTAGGATTTTGGTGAGGGTTAGTTCTGAAGGGGATAGGGGTCAGGCAATTAGACTTGGATAAATTAACAGCACACAAAAAGGGTATAAAATGCTGCAGCATTTAAATTCTACTTGTTAGTTTATTCCCTACGTAAAGCGTTTAAGTCACTTTATCTGGACTTATGTAAGCATTGGATGTTTAAAAAAGTAAATAACAGTTTTTTTGTTGATAAAATAAAAATAACAATTTTAATACTAATAAAAAGTAGAAAATAAAAACTTTAAAAAAAAGAGACTTTCTTGCAAAGACAAGTTTAAATTAACTAAATTTTAGGAAAACAATTTTACAATGTCTTAAAATGCATCATGCAAAGAAAGTCTGTTCAGAATATAATTTCAAAAATTAATAAAAATCATTTCATTTGAATCCTTTGGCTTTATCATCGAGTGCCTTTCTCCAAGACTTTCTTTGCATAATGCAGATTAAGAAAATAAGTTTCTAATTTTAAGTGCGTTTAAAGTCTAAAAGAAATTCTTATTTTAAAAGTTTTATAATTATTTTTCATTATTTTTGTCATCTAAAATTTCATAATCATATAAAGCTTAATTTAAAATCTTAATAAATCAAAAAACTCTAGGGAAGTTTTGTTAAAGAATATAGGTATAGTAATCATTATATTAATGGTCAATAAAAGATAATATTGATCCCTGAACTCATTTTACCTGTAACATAACAAAAACAGCTGACCTCAATAGTGACATCTCCTCAGAAAGTGAAGCAGCATGCATGTTATGAACATACCATACACCAACCATCAAGATTTACACTAGATGGAGAGTTTAATTAAAGTCCCCCACACAGGCCACACCCTTTAATTAGGCACTGTGCTTAATAGTTTCATATGACATATGGTTTCATATGATATATTGATCATTTGAGAAAATTTAAGACCTTAACCTACCCCTTTCTAATACTGGGGCTTGGACCATACTGTGCTAGAGGCTGGATCACAAGATGCCTAGGAACTCACTTTTCATTTGAGTTATATTTTGCATTATTAATATAACTTTATGACTATTGAATAAATCATTTATCATATCAAAAGTGAACCTACAGCTTAATTGTTTTTAAAAATGTTTAATAGATTTAACATAATAGTTAAAAGGAACACTTAAAATGTGTGGAAAGAATTTAAATTATTTTCTTGAAGGAAGTGGATTTCATTGACAGGCTGCAACATGCTAAAATGAAGCAAACTTTCCGAAAACATAATTATTATAAAAAATGTATGCTTCAAGCACTAACTTATTTGTGACAACAAATTATACTTTTTAAAAATTTATTATAATGGGCTCTAAAACAAATTTTAAAATGACACAGCCTTTAATATTCCTATTTAACAGCACATTTATGTTGTTAAGTGAATTTTATTTTAATATAATTCCTAATGTTTAAATACTTTCTTTTATATATCCAACATTCTATTAATTTCTAAATTCAGTGTTAATGTTTTTGTGTTTCAATTTTTTTTTCATTTTATACTCTGCTTTGGTGCATTCAATAATCCTTTTGTTCAATCAAGTGTGTAGGTAAATTCAGTGGTGTAGGAAAGGGCGGATTTTGAAGGACGAGGTCTGCACTTTTTTTTATTATTGAAGGACGACCGCAATAATCTTTGCCCATTTGGCGGCAAAAACCATATCTACACCACTGGTTAGATGTCTGATACCCAATGAGTCTGTTTAACCCAATGTCTCTAAAACAATCTATTTTATTTTGACCATCAGAATAGAACACTATAGGACTATAAAAATCTTAATTGGACTCCAAGGATAGTTTCTCCAAAGGTGCTAACAACACAAAATTATCTGAAATATAGCTGTTTTTTTTAAGAAGAATAATTAAAGACAAGAAAACATTATCTGATCTTTAAGATTATTCATTTTTAATCCCTTTCAATTTTGTGAAATAGCTCACACTCACATACATAGATTTTGGAAGAGACGGACTTATAATGAATGCTTCAGTTAATGGGATATGTCAATTTAATTTTAATAAGTTAGTAGTACATAACTGCATTCAAATTCTTTGTGACGAACCTGCAACTGCAGGTTGAACACATTTTTTTCTATCCACATCTGACCTGTGTGTATATACACACAGAGTACAACATACATTTTTATATATCTAATATGTAGTCTTGAGTCAAAAGACACAACCAAGATAAAACATTAAAATGAAGAAAAAAATCACTTTGTGCCGATTAAGTTGTGCTATGACATGTGGAAAATAATAATAAAGTTTATTTGAAAATCACGCTTCATCCCCAAAGGCTCGAAGTACGGTACAAAGTCAACCATATTAAAAGAGAAATGAAAAAAAAATGTATTATTAGTATTATACCACATTGAAATACAAAACGCAACATTAAAAAAACTAAATACTAGAATACCTATTCTAATTCTTTCATCATTTACTGTTGGAAATTGACAAAATGCTGAATGCTAATTACGCATTGTTTTGCACACCACATTATTCATTGTGTAGTAATGTAATGTAATTTATGCAGTCTTGTCTGTGCTCCATGTTGGTAGGACTCCATATTGTTCTTTTACAATAAAACGTTTAACTAACCTTGATGGTTGCCTCTGCTTGTTTGATTATCTTCCTTGTGAAGTACCTTAGCAACTTAATATTTTCAACATATACATCTAGGAGATAATAGCCAGCTTGAAAAGATGGTAGACAACATCACCCCAGCTGTTGTTTGCGAAATAGATGTGTTTTCAATTCGGTTTTAAAAGACTCCAGTGTCTGGCTGTTTCTGAGAGCGTCAGGAAGTGTGTTCCAAATTGTTGGGCCAGCGAATGTGCGCCTTTCGTAAGTCTCAAGACGAACACGTAGTATCGAGAGTTTGCCATTAACGGATGAGTGGAGTTGTCTAGTGGGTACATAAGTCGTCATGAGCGCCTTGAGATAGAACGGTGTCAGGTCATGCAAGCAGCGGTAGCAAAGAGTTGCAATTTTGTACACTATGCCAGCACGGATTGTCAGCCAATGTAACTCAATAAGATTATAAATTATTTACACAATCCTTCCCTCAAATAGTCTGTCTTGTTATGGAGGCTCATGCATACTTTTATTATTGACTTTTAAGAAGAAGAATGTTTCCAATTATTGTAAAAAAATAGTATAGGTAAACTTATATGAAATATATATTAATACTAATACTAAATTTAAGTCATTTTTACAGTAGATACAAAAGCGATGTTGTAATGTATTATTCAAGTTGAACAAAATTATTTCTTAGTCCAGCTCACAAACATACTTTGAAACACTAAGACAAACAAAGGCGGCAAAGGCCTGATCCACCAAGACAAAGAAAGGCCGCAAATGCCTGTTCTAGGATGCTATCTTTTTTAATAATGAAACTTTTTCATATGTCATGAAATGGGGGATAACTAAATAAATTGGGATATTTAGAAATAACATATAAAAATATTATGTATAATATTAATAATTTAAAAAATATTTTGAGACTATTTTCGCGGGGCATGTTATCAATGGGCTAAAATTAGCAATGCGGTTCTGGTAAAAAATTGTACTTGCCAAATTATTTAAATTTTTTAAAAGACTATTTTAATTTGGAACACACTGTAAACCAGCATTTCCCAAGGTGTTATCGGTAGACCAGCAAATAAGCCCTTTTAAAATAAAAAATATAATTTCACATTTTATTTCATCACTACTTAAAATTTAATAAAAACTACAAAACTAAAATTTAGCTACTAATTGAGATATGGTGTTTTGAAATTAAATGTTTCGATTAAAATGCATTGAAATATTGCATAATATTCTAAAAAAATAATTTTACCTTTGATGATCAGTTCAGCCTTTCTCATTTATTAAATACACAGCTTGAGTTTTTTTGGGCTTTTTTTTTTTTTTTTTTTTTTTTTACGTACAAACATTTTTTTATAATTTAATTATTCTGATAATAAGGCTTTTTGATAGTGAATTAATAACATCATTATTTACAAATTGCATATTTTTGAGTTTTTTTGGGCTTTTTTTTTTCTTTTTTTTTTCTTTTTTACGTACAAACATTTTTTTATAAGTTAATTATGCTGATAATAAGGCTTTTTAATAGTGAATTAATAACATCATTATTTACTTTCTAAAGTGTATATTAAGCCAATATCTTAATAAAGATTATCAATCTTGAAAATATATTTAAACAAAGAAATTAACTAGGATTTGACAAGTAAATAATCATAAATGTTAGACAGCTACTGTTTACTTAACCCACATAGAAAAACAAAAATATGCATTAATAAATCATTCTTATTTAAATGTGCTACTGTCTTATATATAGATACATTATATATTTCATGAGTTGATAATGAATCATATGTTTATAACTTAACAATTTAAATTAAGATATCAGCAATGTAATTTATATAGAAAATCAAGTTGAGAATTCTTTGTTAATGGGAATCTCAGTGTGCTTTTTTTTCAAATGTTTTACATTATTAAATGATTCTCCAATAAATTGTTTACATTAATTTTTCTTTTTACAATATAAATTTTGTAACATTAAAGAATGGTAAAAAAAAAATTTATACGATTTTAAGAAGTTAAAATTCATTGTGCTGGTACGTACATCTATTCTTAAAGTAGAATTTTAATCCCTGTTTTTATTGATCACTCGTCTGTACGTTATGATGTATTCTGGGTAGCAGCTACTTTTATCATATACCACAAATTCTCTGAAGAGAGTTCGTGAATCATTCGGAGAGCTGTCCAATGTAACTGAATCATAGTCTACATGATCAGCATTGGGACATTGTTCACTTTTACATTGATGACATGGCGGTCGCAAAAATTGAGATGCACCTGATAATGCAAAAAGAAAATGAATGCCGTAATGCCTAAACATGTTAATCAATTAAAATTTAAAGCAATAAAAATGTGAAGATTTATATAGATAAAAAAAAGACATTTAGAATATATTATTAAAAATGCTTATAAAATGCTTGATGAAGATGATCACTAATAGCAGATACAGAAACATAATTATTTTCTTATAATAGCTTTATTACAATTTACCTCTCTGTACTTTTGGATGATCTCTGTTAACAATGTAAGTGTTACCAAGTAAAACTCTCATCATCAGCATTTTAAGCTCTTCACCAGGCTTAGTGCGGCCTACTTTTGAATCTTGTTGATAAAAAAATTATGGTTATTATAGATTAATAAATAAATAAATATAAAATCAAATTGCAATTTATATATCTTCATGTCTCCAGAAATAATTTAGTACCAGTGACTCAACTGATAATTAAAGATCTACAGATAGATGATTTTTAGTTCCAGTTTAACAGCTGGTACCTTACAATTTCTTTATCTAAGGTTTTTTACTCAGGGTTTACTTCCTACCCAAAAAACCTGCCTTGCTTGAGTTGTGAGTCATCTCCATCTTGATATTCACACATATAAACTTATTATATCTTGGTCAAAATATAGACAACATTACCATTGCACAAAAATAATATGAAATAATACAATGGATCAGGTGTATATGGTATATGATATGACCACTGATACTCAAAGGAGCTTTTATAAAAATGAAAACAATCTAAAAGAGGTTGCCTGAAGGAATGTTGAAATACTATTTTTCCACAAAAAATAAATAAATCCATTCTGGCTTAATAAATTTCATTATTTCCCAGATAAGGACAACACAAAAAATATTTTAAAATAAATTTTATAAAACATGAGTGTACCTGCATACTGGTCTGACTTTGTTGACATTTCTGCTAAGTACACCCCTCTTCCTAGCATTCCATGGGTGCAAAGTTTAGGGTCAGGGCCACACTGTGTTAGCTTTTCAATAAGGTCTTTTTTTGTTCCATGAAATAGGTAATGCTCATTAACGTCTTGATACAGCTGCTCCTTGAGAAAGTCTTCAGCTAGTTCTGTGGTTTTTATCTGACCCCTGGGTAACGTAGAACTGAAATCATCACAAAGCTTCCCCATTCTGGCATATTTGTCAAATAAACTTTTTCTTATACTAGCATACGGTTCAAAAAGAAGAAAATTCTCAACTCTTTCCACATTTAATACTTCTACAGTTGTATTAGGTATCAAGTTGATTGCATCCACACCTATTCCTGTCTTTGTTGGATCCCATGTCTTTATAAAAAGGTCAGTTACAGCTTTTTTTGTCTCGTTGTTTACACAGACAATAATCTCTTGTACCTTTTTGTGTTTAGATGGATAAACCTTGTTTACTAATCGTTGCAGAAATGATGGATCTTTGAAAACTTTCCAGTAAGATGGACACATTTCAGTTATGGTTGATGCATACTGTACAAATTCCAATGTACCTCGTTGAGGTTTTTCCCCACATGTAATTGTATGATTTTGTAAAGTACTGCGCATTTTATCCAGTTCACATGTGATAAAAGCTTTTAGCTCAACAATGTGAAGTAAAAAACCTGTCATTTCTATTATCTTCTTATCTGAAGGCATTCTTAAATGTATGACATATCTCTGGACTTTCTTTTTAACATCTTGTGATATTACAGGGAGCAACTCATCTTCAATGTAATCAAAGTGTAAACAATGTGTTCTGATCAGTTTAATTAAACTTTTTAAAGTAGCATTTGGTTTGTCTGTTTTAGCAATTGTGACAGAGATTTCTGTATTAACAGCTTCTTCTAAATCAATGACAATGTTTTCACCCATGTCTTGATCCATGTCATCCTCTGTGTAAGAGTTGTCTTCAACAGTAGCAATATTATGAGAGAGTTTTTGCAACTTTTTCTCTGCCTCCAATTTGAAATTGATGTGCATTTCTTCATTATTAGACACAATACAGATTTCTTCTAGCTCTGGATTTGATGTTAGTTGTGACACAAAAGAGTCTACCATTATTTGAGAGACTTTATCAGATGGAAATTTGAACATTCTACCATGACCTAAGGCAGGAAATGCCAGTGACTTGGCTCCCAGCTTGATGGCTTCATCTAAAATTTTGATGATTTTGTTTTCCAACAAAGCAGGTGATTTATCTTCATCCCATTTGCTTAAAACTATGCCACAAATTGCAAGACAAGATGTACATGGATTTGAAAAAGGTCCAAGGACAGTAAGTACATCTGAATCAGGGTTATCGCTTTGGATTATTTTAAGTCTGTCATTCAGCTCAGGGACACATCTGATAAAAGCCTTTCCAATTTGTGTCTTTCTTAAGTTGATAGATTCATCCAACACACACACTAGAACATCCATTTGTTCATCAATGATGTCTCCTTCTTTAATCTTGATGCAACTTGATGTGGTCACACTAAATATATCACTAATAGGTTTTGTTCTAGGGATGTACCCTTTAACTTTAAAGGCAGTTTCATTTGGCAATTTGATTTTGAGAAGACACTTTTTCTCCCTTTCAAAGAAACATATTTTATTTTGCATTTCAGGAGTATTGCAACTCATAGTTATAAGCTTAATATCAGCATCAGTAAAACCTTCCTTTTGAAAATCAATTTGTATAGTCGTAATTTTTTCAACTAATGACTTAAGGAAATCCTCCACTTCATTGACTGCACTCTTTTGACCAGTGAACACATAAGTAATTTCTGTGCCATTATCATTGGTCTTGATTGTTACATTTTGGAAAGTTGAAATATCAAGCAATGGATTTTTACGCAGGTACTTGGCAACATTACCTTTAATTACAAATTCTTTACAAACTTCATTAAATCGTTCTAACAATTTTTCTGCTTCTATTTTAGAAAGCTTGACATCATCTTTGAAGCCCTCAATAATTATCTCATCTTGATTCATATTCCATGATATCTCAACTAATAGTTGATTCTCTAAATCTTTCTTCAAAGACTCTAATTCCTCTCTTGGTATTTGATATTTTGACATTGCGGACTCTTTATAGTTCAATATATCTCTCAGTTTTTCAGTCGCTGTACTCAACAAAATTGTGCTTTTTGAAGCCAGTACTAGTCGATTATTTTCTATGCAAAAAGATATGCTTTTCATTTCTTTGAGACCAGCAAAAAAAAATTTGGCTTTTTCTTTTGTTATTATTTTAGGCAAACAGCCTGTTAACTCTAGATTGCATGTCTTGATTTTCTTAAGATCAAATAATAACTTTTGGTAACGTTCAACCACTTCAGTTTTCTTACCTTCAATCACTGCGCTTTTAAATTCACTATTGTAATGTACAGTGCTGTTCATAAATGAACCAAAATGTTTTTTCATCAACAAGTAGTGTGCTTCTGACATTGTTTGTGCTTTTCTGTCATTTAAGCCAGTCTTTAGAGTACAAGGAATAAAATTTCCATATTGTTTTAGTGGTGTACAACATTGGGCAATTAAATTTATACCTGCCAGTTTTGTATCTGTTATATTAATATCACCTATGTTGCCATTGGAATCTCCACTTTCAGTACTGCCAAATGATATTGCTTTTCCTCCGCAATATTTTCTATTTTGATTCTTTAAACTGTTTTCAAATAGCAAGTTTGTAAAACACTTAAGATCCTCACATTCTGCAGCGTTAAATTTTTCTCCATCTTTATTAGAATTGTTTCCACTGCTCTGGTCCTCCCTATGAGTCCATTTACTTGATGCCTGATCACTCAAACATTCACTGCTGCTCTGAATTCCCACGTTTCCTTCTTTGTCTTGATCACTCAAACTTTCAATGCTGCTATGATTTCCCACATTTCCTTCCAATTCTTGATCACTCAAACTTTCACTGCTGCTATGATTTCCCACATTTCCTTCCAATTCTTGATCACTCAAACTTTCAATGCTGCTATGATTTCCCACATTTCCCTCTACCCCTTGATCACTCAAACCTTCCATAAGGACCTGGTAATCCTTCCAGCCTTCTGATATTTGCTTGCTATATGTTTCATAATCTCTTGGGTTATCCTCTTGGTAACACTGATTGCCTTCTTCATGATTTAATAAATTCAATTCTTTTTCTATTACATCATGGAAATTATAGAAAAATGGTTCAAATTTAATGGTAGCCGATATAGTGTGTCGTTTCTTTGAAAGCAATTTATTCACCACTGAAATAAAAATGTGTAATAAAAAATAAACAACTGAAATGATGATAAAAATTTGTAAAAGTCATGTTAGTAGTAATAAAGTAAAGAGTAGGAAGTATTTGGTAGGTTAATTTAAGGAAAAAGTATATTTTCTTAAAAACACTAGTTAAAATCAGAGGAATAATTTTGATAATTTTTAATTTTTCAAGCAATGTCCCAATTACTCTTATAAGTTATTCAATTATGTAGTTTTTAATAACTTGTGGAATGTATCATTTATAATAAAAAATAGTAATTTTCATTTCTGTTAAATTTAGCTGGTACTGTTGGTAACATTAACATAAAGAAAATGATTTAAAGGCCTTAAGGTGACACCAACAATAAAAAAGCTTCTCATATGGTCTTACATCTATCAGATCCAACTTTGAAATGCACAAATCCTAGGTTATGTTTCAGACAAATTCTGAAAGACGATACAGAGCCTTGTACATTTGTATATTCCTGCTTGATGTATTTTTTAAGAGAGCTCACATCCAAAGTTGGTTTAATATCATATATTACAACAGCATTTTTGGCTCTGGCTTTCACTAGAAACAGTTTCATTTCATGTCCTTCACGTGACTCTTGTTTTATCATACGTGCAGCAACTTCAAAATCTTGTTTATAAAGAAGAGATTTTTAATTAAAAGGTTTACAGAGTTAGATTTTTATAGTGTAACAGACAAAAAAATAAAGAAGAAAATAATTCCAGCCTCAGTCAAAGTTTGAGGTTTACCACTGTAGAGACTTTCAATCTCATTGTTTCTCTAAAAACTACCTTAAATCAATATAGGCATGATTTTTTTATATAAATAAAACAGGCATCTAAACCATTTTAATGCAGTCACAGCCCTGCTAGGGGAAGACAGTTTTGAGAATGTCAGATAAATCTATGCCCAAGAGAATAATTTATGATGTGCTGGGCATAACAAGCAGTATGCTGCATAAAAAGTTTTACATTCACAACATAAAGGAATAAAATTGATTTCATTAATTAAATGAACAGCTATGCATCACTAAAATTCTTTTCTGCTCTTAAATACTCTAACATCAGCTAAAAACATAAAAATGTTAATTGTATGTTTCAACATAATGAGCATGGAAAATAGTTGCTAAATTTTTTTTTAAATTTTATAAATACCTTGAATATTTTGTGAAATAGAAAAAAGGGCCATTCTTTCAATGATCTTGACATTTACTACATCAACATCCAAAGTTCCTTCAATGTACTCAGTCATTAGCTCTTCATTATATGAGGAAGGAATATTCTTTGAATATTTTGTGAAATAGAAAAAAGGGCCATTCTTTCAATGATCTTGACATTTACTACATCAACATCCAAAGTTCCTTCAATGTACTCAGTCATTAGCTCTTCATTATATGAGGAAGGAATATTCTAAAGAAAAACAAGTGTTGTCAATCTTCAGCTATGTGGTGGAACATGACAAGAAAATTAAATATTTCTTTGTGTCATTATTTTATAACAAAATTAGTTTATATTTCTCATTGCCTATGGAAGACAACTACTGATAAATGTTAAAATGGACTAGTATTAATCCATCAATACATATTTTTGTCTATTTACCCAGTATTTAATTTAATTTATTTTACTTTTGAGAATTAAAAAGGAGATGGGAAGAAAAGTTGCGATATGTTGTAATTGAATAAAAGGGGTGGGATATAATGTGTGAACATGGCAAATACAACTTAATTTTTGCATAATATAATTTTTTATTCTTTCTTTAAAAAATAGTTAATTTTAAGATATATCAAAATATATTTCTAATTTATTATGACATATTCAACCTGTGGCCTGCAGGACATTTTAAATAGTTCAAGTTTTAGCCTGTCATCTATAATTATGTAATAAACTTTTATAAATTAAGTTTTTATATTGCTAAGGCACTTTTCTCATAGTCATAGTGGATGATAAAGATAAGGATACCTCTGAACTTAGCAAAAGATTTTTGTTAAGATTAAAAAATAACACTAACTATATTATTTATGATTATGTACATTACTTAATTAGTATGCAAAATTAAGCTTACACTTAATGCTATATAAAATATGTCCATAGCTGCTTCTTTTATAGTTGAATTTAATAAACGTAAATTATCTGTACAATGTCAGCTGCTCAGTTGGTATTTATTATAATCTTCATCTGAAAGAAAAAAGTTTTCAATTAAAACAAAAAGCAAACAAAATAATACTACTAAATAAATAAAAAAAAAAATAAAATATATATGTATACAAACATATATTTAGAACAATTAAAACTGTTTTATTATACTATGGTGTCTGAATTCTCAGGGATTTATGGGGTGACATGTTAACCACAACTGTTAGATTCTATACTTAAAGGCAGTAGTGGTCGGTATCATGGGTCTCTTTGAAGGGAAAGATGCAGGGCTCATTTTTAATACTAATCTATGACTATTATTACATTTAAATGAACCACCTCTGCCTGGCACTCCCAAAATATTTACTTAACAGATATGATTTATAAAAATTGCTCCTCATTCAAAAAAGAATGGAAACCCACCACTTCAATGTAACATAATAAGATTCTAGGGTTCTTAAGGCGAAATCTAAAGATTGGCAACTCCTGTGTGAAAGAAAGAGCATATAAAGCCTTTATCCGTCCGATTTTAGATTATGCATCTTCAGCCTGGGACCCATTTACCCAGAAGAGCATTGACAGGTTGGAGGCGGTCCAGCGACGAGCAGCACGCTTTGTCCTAAACCGCTACAGGAATACCTCTAGTGTTGGCAGCATGCTAGAAACACTAGGCTGGTCACCATTGGAGAAACGACGACGACAATCCAGGCTCTCCATGATGTACAAGATAAATAATGGGCTGGTCCACTGTTCCAGTATTAAACAGAAACTCGTCCCTCTCCCCCATAGACAGCGACGAGGCCATGACAGGCAATTCAGGCTCATACCAGCAAGAAGCCAGTATAGGAGCTGCTCATTCCTGCCCAAGACAATCAGGGACTGGAACAATCTTTCAAAAGGAAGGGTTGAGGCGACAACACTAGACACATTTGTGTCTATTGCCTCAAGCCTTCAAACCCCTAGTGCATGATTTCCTCATCAACACCAGTAACAGAAACATTGCAAATCCCACCTACATGCATAGGAGCCAAAATGATCAATAAATTGATCGTGGGCCCTTAAGATATAGAAGAAGAAGAAGTTTCAATATTGTTTCATTACAACAAATGTATTAATTTTTTGCTATAGATGTATAGAAATTTTACTTTACCAATATAAATATTTTTAATACATTTGATTTTCATCAGTAGTAGACTAGAGTGTCCAAGCAGCCAGAAACATTCATCTTTAAGTAGAGATTAAATAAGTAATTAAAAGATTTTTGTGATGTAGAAGGAGCTCAGACAAACCTGGCACACCAGAATGTTACACATTGTCCATGCTGCCCAGTCAATCCTTGCATTTAATATGGAATTAAAAATTAAATGTTCCAATTGGCCTGCCTAAAGTTAGCCTAAGGTTTGAGGGGCTTAAAGGAACTTTAAGCAAACTTGAATTTTTTTGTTATTATACATGCTGCTTTAGGCCAACTGTGTTTTTACCAGCATGTTCAACAATTTTTAAAATTAGGGTCCTTTACAGCTGAGTTATTTACAAAATAATTATAATGTCAGACCAACAAGAAGTTAGAAAAAGCTTCATAAGGGAAATCACTTTATATATTTAGTTCCTATTTATTATCACAATGTAAAAAATGTGAATATGTGCCTGTAATTTTGTTCCTTAGTTCTCATGTCTGATTGACTTAAATCAAATGATCTAAATCGGTGTTCCCAAAATTGTGGTCCATAGACTGGCGATGGTCCATGAGCCTTATGTTGTCAGTCAGCACAACATTAGTCAAGAAAATAAAATACCCCAGGTTGTACTATAAACTTCTAAGCATCAAGTTATGGCAGTTGTTATGGAAGCTGATGCTATGCGCCAGATGAAAATTTTAAGAAATGTGGAACCTATTAAGGCAAAAATTATTTAATAAGCATATTTTGGCGTTACAAGACCAAGCCTAAACTCTCATTCCCATGCAATGGTTCAATGTTTCTGGAAAAAAAGGTGGATACCTACCACCAGATAACACACTTAACTAGGAAAATAGAAATGAATCAATAATCAATATGATTGCCAATATGAACAAATGAGCCCTCTGTTGTCCAAAAAATGGTTAAAGTTTGTCACACCTGCACAATGCACACACTTGTACCAAAAATTAATATATTTTAGTGTAATACACAAAGCTTGTGCGTTGTCAGCTTCATATGGGGGTACGTCACATGTTTTGTAAAACAGAGTAGCTTGCCAATGGACATCACCTACTTTTTCAATACGGGTTGAATCCATTTTGTTGAGTAGGGTTATAATTTGAATTGTTTCGTTCCTTTCAATTCACAATATCGTCATCCAATCCACGTTTATTTAGCCAAAGCATGACAGCCTATTGACAGCCACAAATGATATGAAAACAGTTGTGAAATGTGTTAAAACAAGAAGAACAATGGGTGAGATGCTCATCGTGGATTGTGTTAAAGATGTCAACTTATAAATGTTGGATGTGCTGGCGACATAGAATTTTGCCCAAGTTCCTCTATCGAAAAACACTATAACTGACGTCATAATGCTCTGGCTCATGATTTGGAAGTCCGATTAAAAAATTATCTCTCTTAACAGTTGGTCAAAATAGTACATATGTTGCTGACTTGGAAATTCGGGTGGTGTATACAACATTCTGATGGTGATTTCAATAGAAAGATGACATGAAAAATAATATTTCTTGTGTGTTGCACCAATGCCATTCCGAGGAAAAGCAGCAACTGAAGGGAAGTCTAGGATGCAACCCCTGAAAATAGCCTATAGAAAAAGTGCCGCCCAGGGCTGACCAGTAAAAATATGTCCTGTCCTACACTACCAACAAATGCAACTAATTCTGAAATATTCTAGGTGATCCTCAATTACATTGTTGGCAAATGCGGTGCGTTTTTTTAAATTTTGTATTAGTCAGTATTCGGATGACATTCTATGATTGTTAAACAAATTAAAGCGATAGCACCTGAAAGAAATTGAACATAATGTTTCATTCACGATGAGAGTCTTGCAACCAAAAACAATGAATAATAAATTAGGCACGGGTCACTGATGAAATGGGAAAATTGTCCACCAGTACAACAAAATTTTAAAAAATTGGAAACACTGATCTATATTATCAGACTTATTTATAAGTTTAAATCTAGTGACTCCCTGCTCTTTATTTTCATTGTTATTTTACCTCTTGGCATTTTGCACTGTACAATGCACTCGTTACTCATTAATAAATTTCTAGTTTCTTTCGTAAACAACTCATGTCTTCTTAACATAATTATGCTATTCATTATATGATTCATAAAAATGGCCAGCTTTCAAAACCCATACAAATGAATAGATCTTTCTACTTAAAAGATTTTTTTCTTCTTTTTGACTCTGATCAAAATTCAACATGTAAAATGATGATAGCAGTGCTCTGTTGTGATGGAAACTCTTTTTTTAAAAAAAACATGTATAATTAAGTAGTTAACCCCCCCCCACACCCCAAAAAATAAAATAAACAAAATTTAAACCCACAATAAAATTAATATTCTTCATCTATATTTTGAGGGCCCACAATCAATGAATTGATCATTCTGGCTCGTATGTTTCAGAGGGGTTCGCGACGTAACCGTGCATGGTTTTGAATGGGATGCTTCACTGTTTGTAAGGGTTACTCAGGAATGGTATTTGAAATGGAGGTTGAAAGACAGGAGGCAATGTACGCAAATGTGTCAAGTGCAGTGGCTTCAACTGTTGCTTTTGTAAGCTTGTTACAGTCCCTTATTGTCTGTGGAAGGAATGAGGAGCTCCTGTACTGAGTTCTTGTTTTTATGAGCCGGAAGTGCCTGTCGTGGCCTCGTCACTGACTAGGGGGTGAGAGGGACGAATTTCTCTTTAATGCTGGAGCAGTGGACCTGCCCATTTTTTATCTTAATTATTATAAAATAATATTTGCGTAACACAAATATGTGAAGCAGAGCCCGTAGCTCAAATTTTCGGGCCCCCCCCCCCCCCGCTAATTTTCGATTTATTCTCCCGTACATTGCAATGAAAGATAATAATTAAAAGAGTGTCAACACAACACCTTTAAGCCCCTAGCCCTAAATATACCCGAAGGGGTTGCTGGGCTCATACAATGGCTCAAGGTTAAGTAACACCTACGTTTTTGTAACTAGCATCTCTTTTAAGAGTAGAATTTTGCAAAATTAATTCAGGTATGAGCTAAAATGCATTCTTTTATTTTGAATTGATCAAAAAATTTATGGAGATTTTCAAGCTTTAAGGGGCGAGAATAATAGTAATAGGTATTGGCCTAGCAGAGCAGGGCTAAATAGGACAAAGAAAAGTATTCAGTTATATCAAGTATTCAAATAAGATCCAATAAACAGTCCGAGATAGGATAGACCTAATACGATATAACTAGTATTAGTAATAAGAGCTAAATTAATAATACAAATTAATGAATAAAAATGCCTACCACCTTATGCACCAAGCGATTGTCCAAATTTGATACTGAGTCATACACCATGTTTTCCGGGAAAAGTCATTTCTAAGGATGTGAACATGAACTTATTTTGGGAATTCTCTTACCGCCACCTACTTGGCTTTTTTTTCTTCTTTTTTGGGTTTGAATGATGGCGAAGCCAGGCAATTCCGGAACTTCCCCATATACAACAGTAAGGTACAGTACAGTGGTGTAAACTGGCTTTACTTTACGCTTTACATGTACCGTAACAGAAAAGCTTCGATTTGAGTAAGTAAATAATAGATGTAATTAAACTTATGAAATAGCCTAATCGTTAACAATAATACAAAACCCAATAATCCCTTTTTTCATCTGGAAATTGCTAAAAGTTATGATATTTATATGTGTTATTTAAACATATTAATGCCCATTGTATGGCCAAAGTCATAGTCATCCATAGAATACCTGACTCCCACCTGAAGATTCGAGTCCGATTTCTTCTGGAAATTGCTAAAAGTTATGATATTTATATGTGTTATTTAAACATATTAATGCCCATTGTATGGCCAAAGTCATAGTCATCCATAGAATACCTGACTCCCACCTGAAGATTCGAGTCCGATTTCAAATTGTACAATAGATTTAGATTAGACATACTTTTACTATGCACATTGCCTGGAATTGGGAAAAATGTGTGATAGCAGCAAGAGTAGTAGCAAAAATATTTTAAGATCAAAATGTATATCAGAAGTAGGGTTGTCAACGGGAGCCCGGTTACACGCCCTAGACAAGCTACTCGGATAATTTTCGGGTACCTGATTAAAATTAATTTTAAAACAGAGGCGTAGCTAGAGTGTTTGGCGCCCGGGGACAAGATTCATTTTAAAGCACCTTCCATTATTTTTTAAACCCTCAAACCCATTCTTTTCATCAATTAAATAATATCGATGCACATTTTGGCGCCCCTAAGTAGTCTAGCATCCAGGGACATCTGTCCCCCCCCCCTGTCCCACCTTAGCTACGTCTCTGTTTTAAAAGTCATTAATATAGAATTTTAACTAAATTTTTCGTAAAAAAACAAGAAATACATTAACTCACCCATTTGTTATATCTTGTGTGTTAACTTAGTTCGATTATAAATATAAAGGCATTCAACCCGTAGCCTCGCCCCAACCACCCCCACACACCCTTTTTTGTGGATTGCATTACTGACGTCACCAATTAACTTGGTGACACGTGCTGCCAATTATTTTCCCCAACCCACAAGATTGGGAACGTTTGTGTACGTTTTCAGAAGCGTCTACACAGAGGGAGAATTTTAGACTTTCTGTTTTGGAGTGTTCTAACTCCCTCACTATAAATACGAAGCTCGACTGTGACCGGCAGACATTTACGTGACTTAGAGGAGCCCTGCAAGACTTGCTAGATATTTCAATGTATGTGTGTGGATTAATATTTGTACCCTATAGTATTATACTTTTTTAACTTGGCTGTGCTGTAAGTTAATGCAGTTGTATTTCTCTATATTTGATTCTATATTTGTATGAGGTCATCCATTAATTACGTCAACAATTTTAAAGCAATTTTTGACCCCGACCACCCCCTTGTCAACAACTGTCAAAGTTTCAATCCCCCCCACCATTTAATTATGTCAACATTTTCTAACTCATTGAATCTTTAGCTTGTTAATCAAAAATTTAAAACGTTTTTACACTTAAATTTTATAATGCAGAATCAATTGAAAGGTTTTTAAAGACTAATTATCATTGTTTGTGGTATAAATATGATTATTGTCAGTAAAGCTGACTATAGTATAGTTTCTAGCTGCTATCATCTTTCCAAGGCGTAGCCAGGTTTGCTCTATCGTAGCGGTGGGCATCAGGGACATTATTTGGGTAGGTCGGGGGGGGGCATTTGACCTAATCCCCTAATTTGCAGGTTTTATTTAAATTTCAATGAACTGTGGCGCCTCCAGTAATAAACAACTTAACAAGCTGACCAAGTTTTTATCACCCCCCCCCCCTTTAAAACAACCTGAAATGACGCCCCTTATGGGCATAGACTATAGGAGCTGAGTGATAATTTTCATCTTGCGGCACTGATATACCAGACAAGTCAACATGATCCTCATCTAACCATTCAGAACTTAAAATAGAAGCATTGTCGGTGTGTGCAATAATGGCCATAAGCTCTCTCTATCTCCTTGCAGCTACTACTCGCATTGGTCGAATCCTTTTTTGTTGAGAAGCAGGTGCCAATTTCTTATGCTGAAGGGGGCATTGTCGGTTCTGTTGAACATGCTTTTCAACATGACTTGTGATGCAAAATAGATTTACAGATTTTGCAAATCCGTTCAAGCAGCGATGATATTATTTTAACTCACTTTACATTCACCTAATTCTCAAAATATCGTATTCCTACCCAATCAATTTTATTTATCTTGACTGCGTCAAAATAGATTTACAGATTTTGCAAATCCGTTCAAGCAGCGATGATATTATTTTAACTCACTTTACATTCACCTAATTCTCAAAATATCGTATTCCTACCCAATCAATTTTATTTATCTTGACTGCGTATGACACTTGAACCTTGTCCTTGTTCCATACCTGCAACAGAATCTACAGGTGAAGAGAGCCCAACTTTTAACGTCTCTTGCATTAACAAAGTGGGCAACATTTTGACCATCCATCTGCATAGCACAGACACACATGAAATAAATCTTATATTGTTAAAAGCCTAAAATTGTATGATTATTTACACTCATTTACATTTATTATAAATTTAAAAAAAATAATTTAATGACCAGTCAATTTTTAAGATTAAAATTTTAATAGAGAAAACATGTTTGTTGA